TGCTGATAACTGGTCTTCCAGCGCGGCTGTGGGAACTGGGGAACAGGGTGCTTGGTGCAGAATTCCCAAACTGCTTACTGGAACTACAGCTGCCTGGAGGCCTGCCCAGGCTTCATGCACCCCGTCCTCTGAGGGTAGGGTCTAAACATCTGTATTTTTAGCCTACTCCCTGGGTGATTCTGCAGCAGCCAGCACAGTTCCCATATTTGGGGACCATAGGTTCAATCCCCTTATTGTAACAATGAGAAATCTGAGGTCCAGAGAGGAAAAGTAACTCACTCAAGGTCACACTGGGAGAGAATAATGATAATTCTACCCTTTCTCTTGGGTGAAAGGGTAGTCGACTTCTAGATAGCTCCATCCATCCCCCAGCTGTGGCCCAAAGCCCAGGAGAGGGTGGTGGGGCCAGGATGCCCACAGGGAAGTGGCTTCTGAGACCTTGGTAGGCCCAGGTAGAGAAGGGAGGGTGGGTCTTGTCCCAGGAGGAAGGACAAGAAGCAGGGGCCATTCCCACAGGACTGGACCTGCCCCACCCTGCCCTGTGCAAACACTCCCAGCACCTGCTGGAGGATGTTTCCTAAAAGATTTACTGTGGCCCAGTCTGGGGAAGGCCGTTTCCATTGCTAGGGACCTACCTGTGCCCTGGAAAAGCACATCCACAACAAAGGAGATTTGGGACCCACTCTGACACTCTGGCCTCCCACAGCCTCCTCCCTCGCGTCGTCTCCCCCACCCCCATCCAATCCACTGCTCTGGGCTCTCAGCCTTTGCCTTGCCTCTACCCACACACCCCTCCCCCCACTTCACCCCTTTGAGCATGTGCACAAAGCCTCCCCAGCACCCCCAGTCACTGCCATGCTTCTGCTGCTCCTTCCTCTGGCTCTGGTACGCTTCGCGCCTCCAGGTCCAGCCCCCAACCCCAGCCCACCCTGCATTCTGGTTTGCTGCATGGCTCTCACCCTCTGGGGTGGCCTCTTTGGGGACAGGAGACAGGTCTAGCTCATCACTGGGCCCTACTCAGAGCCCAGCTGGCTGCAGCAGTCCCCAGCAGGTGTTTGGAGGGGCTAAAATTCTGAAACCCACCGCCCTCCCTCACATCCTGGGCCATCCCAGTCAGGTTCCCTCCCTCTGCACTACAACATCTTTGCTCACGGAATGAAAAGAAGAGAAAAGTAGTGACCGGCAGAGGGGCAAACTGAGGATCCTGCGAGCTCACACAAAGGAGTAGGGCGTGCCTGGTCCTTGGTGTGGAGGAGGAGTGAGCTGCTGTTACTGCAGAAGTGGGTGAGTGGGTGGGATGCTCAAGCCCCTGCACTATCCATCCCTCCTCCATTCCTGCAGCACACATTTGCCGTAAGTTTGCCCCATGCCAGCACACTGATACCCCCTGCACACGGGGGGAGCAGGGGCGAGATGCTGTTCTGCCTTCAAGGAGCGCTGAGTTTTGCAGACTCCTGCTTAGGTGCCTTCAGCCCAGAGCGCTATGGTGAGGTGGGTACAGGAATTGGGTAAGCCCACAGAGGGCCGTAACCCAGCATGTGCTGGGAGAGTGTGGGGGAGGCTTCCCCAAGGAGAAGACACTAGAGCTGTGTCCTGAAGGGTGAGGGGGCATTGCTGTGCACTGAGCAAGAGAAGGAGGGGAGCCAATGGGTTTCCCAATGGGTAAATAGGCGGTGGTGAGGTAGGGACTGTGGGCAGTCACTGGAAGGGATGGAGAGTCAAAGAGAGGAGATTCCTAAGAACCCCAGTCACAGTTTGCTGGCTGTTCAGAGACAGGAAAACATGGACTGGGACACCGGAGGCCCTGGAGGGACCCCCGGTTCTCTCTGGCAGGAAGCGTCTTTGCCTCTGAGCCTCATTGTCTTCCTTTTCAGGATAGGGCTGTTCTGAAACAAGAGGTATTGTGAAAGCACTCTGTGAACTCTAAAGGGTCATGTTCCTGTCAGACAACAGTAGTGTTTTGGGCGGAGTTGGTACTTTTCTGAGAGTTAAAGGGTACCTCTTGAGGTTAACTGAGAGCTGGAGGTTCAGGGCCCGGGGGCTGCCTGGAACCTGTTCCTGCGCTGCCACCTGCTGGCGGGTATCTGCAATGGCAGCATGAGCCCTCAGGCCCGCCCTCAGGCCCTTCCTCCCGCCCAGGCCCGAGATCCTGAGGCGGCAGCAAGGCGGAGCCGGAGAAGTCCAGGCGCTAACGCTAGTAGACTCCCGTGCAAGAGTGCAAATGGAAGGCCCCACATCCCTTTGCAAGCCACCGCCTGGCCCTTCGCAGCCTTGGCCTCCACTCTCACCGTGAAGATCCTCATGTGTGTGCAAGGGGCAACCCCCTCGCGGCCCCTCTGCACACCAACAGTGAGGATGGACTCTGGAAGTGGCTGGTGCAGGAATTCTGGAGTTCCAGACACCCCGAGCATGGTCTAGAGGGGGACTGTGGGCTCCAAAAGTCACATCCCCCGTGGTGCTGTGGAATCCAGGTAACTTAGGTGGCTGCGTGGCAGAGTGGCCAACTCACCCCGTTTGCCTGGGACTGTCCTGTGTCAGCAAACCAGGACAGGTGGTCACCCTGTCGTGGCCCGAGGGCCAAAGCCTCTGCATCACCGTGTTGGCTCTGCCTGCAGTCTGGACGCAGAGAACCAAACTGGCCTCTCCTGTGGCAGGGGCCTCCCCTCGGCCACTGGAGCCTCTCATACCATCCCTCTCTCTGGCCCCAAGGCCCCTGTCCCAGGCACTCAGTCCACAGTGTGTGGGTATTGCGGGATTTCTCCCCTTACCCCTTTCTCCGAACCAGTCTCCAGGAGTTCTGAGGCCTGGCAGCTTGTCTGGGCGGTTGGGCTGGGGGAAGAGAATAGGTGTGGAGAGACTTCTTCTGGAACAAGTTCTCATTTTACAAGGAAACTGAGGCCTAGAGGAGAAGAGCCTTAACCCAGGCCCCTGAGGGAGACTTTGCTGCCGGCTGGCGGTTTGTGGCAACCCCTGTCCAGCCCCCCATTGCTCCCCCCCACCCCCCGCTCTAGATAAGGGCCCCTCAAGTGCCTGAGGGAAAGCCAGCCTCCTCCCGGGTTCTAAGGCTGGGGCCCAGGGTCCAGGCATAATCCAACTGTAATTGGCTCAGCCTTGAGCATGAGACCAAGTTGGCCCAATCAGAGTGGAGACCTTGACTTTTATTTTGCAAATGGCGAGTTCTTGAACAGGAAACAAACAAATAAACAAAACCCACCCAGTGCTGGTGATTGACCGGGAGACAGCAAAGTGCACAGAAGTTGGTAGCTATTTATTGCACTGAAAACACCAGTAAAACAGACACCCCTTCTAACCCCCTCCCACCCAATAGCAGAAGTTTTGAGCAGTGGTCATTCAAGTTCACAGCCACATATTTAAAAAAAAAAAAAGAAAGAAAGAAAAGAAAAGAAAGAAAGAAAGAAAAGGAAAGAAAGAACTGAAACAAATCCCCAAACCAATAGTAACAAAGAAACCAGCGCGGGGAGTCTGGCAAACACATTCCCCCACCCCACCCCCAAGGATCTCCCCTTGGGAGACAGGAGGCCAGGATTAGCGCCACAGTGTGCACAATCCTGGGAGAATACTTTCCTATGGAGGTGTTTGCATGCTGGAGCCTAGGTCTGGTCTTAGGCCTGGATATTTTTTTTTGCATCTACAGGATGTTTTAGAGGAGCAGAGTTTCACTGTCTGGTGGGGGTGGGCTCTGGGCCGCTTTGTCTGCCCACCTCCCCTGCGTGCCGCCTCAGGATCACGCTGGTGCCCTGTGGTCCACACTGGCTGACTACCCACCCATCAGAGTGGCCCTCCTCGTGGAGGCCGTTTCCTCCCGGGGTAGGGACCTGCCTCCATTTCGCTGGCACTTGGAATGGGACACAGTGGATAGGAGGCATGAGACAGGTCAGCAAATAGGAATCGGGACATTGGCATCCTCCAGCTCAGTTCCCTCTGGTGGAAAAACCCAGGGCCAGAGCAGGAAAAGGACTTGCCCAAGGTCACACAGCAAGTCTGGTCAGAACTGGGAATGGAATCCTATTAACCCCCAAAGCGGGGGTTAATAGGATTCTTTTCCTGCAGTCTTTTCCTGCAGTCCACTGCTAATAAGCAGTCAACAGGCACCAAAGAGGGGAATGAGGGGCAGGTGGGGGCATGCAGGGGGGCTGGCCAGGCCCAGAACAAGGCAGGAGTCTAGCCAGTGACTAACCCTGTCAGTTCTCACAGGTATATTGGGCTTCGCTTCACCGCCCCGTTGGATCCACCATCAGCCCTGCAGCAGAGGCTGGGCAGGAATATTTAACCCTTTCACTGATGGGGAAACTGAGGCTGAGAAAGGGACCGGACTTGGTCTTGGTAATTGCAGCATCCCCTGTGAAGGCCACACCCTCACCTTGGGCTTGGGGATTGCTGTGGAAGCTGGCAGCTCCACAAGGGAGGCAGGTGGTCTTACCGCTGGGATGCTGGGATCACTGGGCCTTACTGGGAAGCCCTCTGGACCTGGGGCAGGCCAAGTGCCTGCCCCCTGGGCCTCGGCAGCAGGGTGTCTGCCAAGGATAGAGGCCAGTGATCAACCAATTTGGAGAGCAGGAAGCCCAGGCAGCCTCTTTCCTGGCCTGCAGCCCCAGTCCAGCCTGCCTCACCTGTCCCCAGGGGCAGCTTGTAGAGAAAAGGGCTCGGCAGACATCTCATGATCGGGGGAAACTCAGAAAGTCCTGGATCGAACATCCCCACCAGTCCTCCAGCCAACACCCAGGACTCCCCAGAGGTTTGGGGGAACCAGAGCCTCCTCCAAATCCCTGGGGCTGTGGCTCTTCCTCCCCTAAAATCCTCCAGAGGGGACAGTATCTCATGCTGGCAAAACACGGCCACACAGAGGCCAAAAAGCACAGAGAGGCGGCAACATAATTCCGAGTTGGACACTGAGAATACAACCTCTATTTTTTTTTTTGTCCAAAACATGTAGATTGGTTTTGCTGAGTGTTTTGCTTCTTTTCCTTTTTTTTTTTTTTAACATACTTACTGCATATAAAGTCATGCAAAGAAAACAGTGCAGACAGTAGATCCTAGTGGATGTGCCAAGGCATTCCACGTCAGAGTCAATCCCGGGGAAGAGGGAAAGAGAAGGGAAAAGAGATTCGAACCCACGGCTGCAGGACGAGGCGTGAAGAGGAAAAATTCCAGTGCTCTGCTTGGACCAGCAGATGCGGAGGGGAGAGGCAATGAAGACACATGCTCATGAACCCCCAAAGACTGGGGGAGGGGCTGGGGGGGCACACATGGATGCGGTGGGATGAAATCCTGGGAACCTCAGTTTGGGAGGCAAGCAAAAAAAAAAAAAAAAAAGATATTTCTGTCCTGACAACTTCCCCACTCTCTCTGCCCTGATTTGCTGTTTCTTAGCACTAACATCTGGTGTTTCTACAGTCCTGAAAGGAACTTTGGGACCAAAATGTCAGCGAGGCCCTCCCCCCCCCCCAGTCCCCAGGGCTGAGTCCACCTCGGCCCCAGATAACCACAGGTGACAGAGTGCATCTCAGAGATGACATGGAAAAAAAAAAAAAAAGACCTAGAACAGAAAAAAACTACCCCTCACCCCTCTTCCCACCTCCCTTCCCAACTTGACCCGACCCTCCTCACTATAATTTGAGAGGTTTAGTTATTACATAAATATCCATGAACGCAAAATCCATTTACGAAACACACAGAAGTTTGGCTATAAAAAGGCATGCGGTCCGAGTAGAAGTGATACCTAAACGTTGCCTTCTTTGCCCCCAAAAAGCAATCAGATTCTCTCCCTCCGATGTGACGAAGCTGGAATTCTCCCGGACTGATGGAAGGGTAGAATGGGCGTTACTGTCGGAGGTAAACGGCAGCCGAAGGCAGAAGGGAAGAGTGGGGGGCACCCTGAGAGGATCGTGCTCCACACACCGAGGGAGGAGGGTCCGCACGGACAGAGGACGGGGCGGGATGGGGGGAGAGCTAGGGAGGCAGTGTGAGGTGGGGGCTCCTGGTGTCCGCTCCTCTCTCACTGTCTCCCACAGGGGAGGCTGGCTCACGGGGCTGGGGGGACCCTGGAAGGGAGAGACAGGGAGATGGGGGGCGGATGCCACATTCTTCCTGATTCTGCCCCTCTTTCTCCTCAGCCCCTGGGGGCACACACAGCTGGGCGTTCTAGCCTACAGCCAAGGCAAGACCAGGCGGACAACAGCCAGGAGGGGGAGTCCTCGGAGCCAGCGCCCAGGGCACCCAGGGCACCCAGGCCTGAGGAAGCCCCGCCCTGGCAGGGGACACAGAGCCAGCGTGACAGGTGGTGGCAGGGAGACGTGCCACTTGCTCGGAAGTCGTGATAGCTTTTGTGAGCAGGCAGATTCTCTTGACGTAGGTGTGACGGTGATGGTGATGATGGTGGTAGTGGGGTGATGTGATTGGGGGAGTTCCAGCAAAATCCAAGTGGGAGAACCAACAGCCACATTCCATGAACGAAGAGTAAATCTCTGCAGTACAGGGCCCCCGGCCTGGTCCTTCAGCTGTAAGAAATGGTATGTGTGGTGGGTAATGCAGGTGCTTCTGAGGGCGGCCTGTTTTCCTTGGGCTACCACCCTGCACCCCCCATCCTTCCATGGGGCTGACGCTGCCCCCTGTGGGTCCCACCCAGCTTCCCCCTCCCCCAGGGAACCTGCAGGTCTGGTCTCCTCCCTGTGGTCCTCCAGCCCCCACCCCGTGGCCTTCCAGCAGCCAAGTTCCCCAGCATGTCCCCCTCCAGACTGACACCACCCCATTCCTTTAAACTGTCTCAGATGACAGATGGCAGGAAGGAGGGGCTCTTACTGGGGCAGGACGGAGGGCGCCCCAGATCTGTGGAAGTGGACGATCTGCCATTTGCCGTCCCGGCGGTGCCAGACGCGGGTCTCCTCCGACTGGGCCGTGCGGGGGATGCCGCCCGCATCCAGGTACTGCGTGATGCGGATGTAGGCGATGCAGGCCGACTCGTCGCCCATCAGATGGATATGGGGGTTCAGGATGGTGGTGTGCACGGGCTTGCTGTTCCGAGACCACACTGGAGGCGGGGATGGGAGGGGGCAGAGGAGATGCAACTGGGGGCCTCCTGTGTCCCTTCCTTCACTTCCCCATCTCCCAATGACCCTCTCAGCAGAGGCACCCCCGCCTGCCTCATTTCCACAGGAGGGGTCTCTGTGACAGGGCTCAGCTAGGAGTCAAGGCAGAACTTCTAGATGGCTAGAGCAGATCCCAGATTTCAGACATGCCAATTCTTTAAACACAGGGGAACGGGATTTTAGAATCACAGTATCTCAGACACACAGAAGTATAGGGCTATGATTATAGAATCAGATGAACTTAGACCAGAGTCTCAATCCCAGGTTCCCTACAGAGGCCAGGCAAGTACATAAACGAGGGGGGTGAGTGGGGTATAAGATGCTAAATGGCAACAGACCCTTGCCTCTGGGTCAGGGAGCGAGTGATAGGGAGTGGCAGAGACTGTGGAGAAGAGCGCACCCTGTCCCACCTGCAGAGGGCGCCCTGTCCACAGCTTCCCTGGTGGCTGCTCGGTGAGTAGCCGACCCTTGAACGTTTGGGCCCGGGGGGGAGTTAGCCCCCCCCACCCCCCCTTGAAAATCCACATATAACTTGACTTCCCCAATACTTAACTGCTAATAACCTTCTGTTGACTGGAAGCCTTACCGGTAACATCAATAGTCAACCCACATTTTGTATGTTATTTGTATTATTATGCTATATTCTTACAATACAGTAAGCTAGAGGAAAGAAAACGTTATTAAGAAAATCACAAGGATGGGGCGCCTGGGTGGCTCAGTCGTTAAGTGTCTGCCTTCAGCTCAGGTCATGATCCCAGGGTCCTGGGATCGAGCCCCGCATCGGGCTCCCCGCTCAGCGGGAAGCCTGCTTCTCCTTCTCCCGCTCCCCCTGCTTGTGTTCCCTCTCTCACTGTGTCTCTCTCTGTCAAATAAATAAATAAAATCTTTAAAAAAGAAAATCACAAGGAAGAGAAAATATATTTACAGGGCGGGGCTGTATTTACTGGGGAAAATGTGTGTATAAGTGGACCTGCACAGTTCCAACCTGTGTTGTTCAAGTGTCAGCTCTAAGTGGAACCCACATTTGCCACACCTGATTTTTCAGGAGAATGTGGAAATCTGGATTTTTATGTGAAAAGGTGTCATTTTTATTATTGGTCTCTAATTCAAATTTAAAACCTCATGCAGGCCACGTGAAGCATATATGCAGTCCAGATATGGCCTGTGGACCTCTGATTTGCCACTCCTGTTCCAGATATATGGAATTATGGAAACCTGAGTCATATTAAAATTGTAGAATCCTAGGATCTTGGAATTGTAAGGATGGAATTGGTGGTCATGGGGTGAGGTCATGGAGATTTCCAGAGTCAGGCAGAAAGGCATAACTTTTCTAATCATGACAGAACCGAGAAAAGTACCTGAAGCCAGCTTTCTCTATGCAAAATATGAGCCACTATTATTATTATTATTATTATTAACTATTAATTTTTTGGTTCTAGGAACTCTCCATTTTTTTCAGCAAGATAGAAAACAAAAGCACAGAAAGACAATGACCCAGGGCGAGGCTGAACAGGGCTCACGAGGGTCCCAGGCTTCAGAGGAACCCTCATGCCTTCTCCTAGTGTAGCCCAAATGTAGGTCCAAATCCCACACAGAACCAGTTTAAAATATACACTGCCCATCTCCTCTCTTGAAGATGACAATTCAAAAATCTATACTATTCAAAAGGCTCCTTCCCCTTCCCCACCCTCTGATTCTGATGCCCAGCCAGGTTTGTGAGTCATGGGTTTCCTGGAAAATGTAAAACGTCTTTTTTTTTTTTTTTTTAGGACTACTGAAAACATCCCTAACATTATAATCACACTATACCCAGGCTTTGGCTACAGAACACCAAATCACTCAGTCTTACATATGTAGACTAACAGACTGTTACCACTTGGGGTTCTCAGAGAGAATGTAGAGTTTTTGCATTATAGGCTTGGGAGTGACCTCAGAGGTCAGAGGTCACCCAGTGGCCCTCCTACAAAATGCAAAGAGGCCTCTGTAAGCATCCTCGACAGCAAACAGGGCTGGAGGCACTCAGGAGCATCTAGTTCAATGCATCCATTCAACACATCTGGAAACTGAGGTCCAGAGAAGCAATCTGACTTGTCCCAAGCTGGGCCACTTCCTAAAAGAAATGCAATAGAACCTAAAAGAAGTCAGTGTCCAGATGGGATTGAATTAGGACAATCTCGAACGATCTCAGAAGAGACAAACAAACAAGGTCAGCATTGTTGAGGGTGCCTCGCTGTTGTTGGCAAGGGCTGGGGTTCTGGGGGACATTTGTAAAGAAATGACCACCTTAATGTGTGTTCTCTGAATAGACTATGGCCTTCTAACATCCACCCTTATAGGTAGCATGGGACAAAGGGCCAGGTCGTCCAGCAGGGAAAAACAGGCAGGATGGTAGGACTCGGCCCTGGGGCCAGAAGTTGCTCTGGGTCTTGCACTCATGGGCCCTTTGGCATTCAAACCGAGAATCCCAGGGGCCGGTGTTGTGAGGGGTGCCCACTGCCTGGATGCAGGCCCAGAGCTAGGTCAGCCTTCTCTTTGTGTTTATTATCCCTGGGCCCTTAGAGCCGGCTCAGCCTGGTTTCTGCTCCGCTCGGTGGGGATTGGGGAGTTCACTCTGGGAAACCAGCACCTCCAGAAGACAGACCTGTATAGAGGTGGCCATGGTGATCAGCCAGGGAGCTCCAGGGTGATGGGGAAACCTTGGGTCCAGCCACCTCTCTTCACATGACAATCTAACCTCCACTGCTAGGCTTGGAGCATCAGAGTTTTATTAATCAAGGGAAAAGGCAACTTCTTCACAGCTTGTTGGGGGTGTTCTTGGACCACTCTAGTCTATAAGGTCAGTCTAACTGGGTACAGGCAGGAGAGGACTGTCTGGCTGGGGGCTGCTAACACGCAGATGAGAGGCGGCAGCCCGGGGCAGGGATGGGGAGGAACGAGTCAGGACTGGGTTCTGCCACTGACTTTCTGGGTTCCTTCGGATGAGTCACTTCCCCTCTCTGGGCCTCAGTTTCTCCTTCTGGGTGAGTTATAGCTGGACTAGATCCTATTTCAGTCACTTAAATACTGCCTTTGTTTTTGCTATCGACTTGTACTTACTTCATTAAAATATTTCCTTGAATCAATACACTTTATTAATTGATGTAAATGTATTTTAAAAGAAAACTTTCCAGCACAATCAATAATGAACAACCGGTATCACAGAATACAACTTTAATCATAAATCCAGTGTAAATGAAATAAAGCTACGTAATCCTAGCTCCGTGCTCTTGCCTGCAAGGGATCTGAATCTGAGACTGTTCTTTCTTTGCTGGAGAGGTAAATGAGGCAGTGTGAGAGAGGGGTTTAGCGCCCAGCCGAGCCTTTCCCCCTGATGAAGCCGGACGTATTGAAAGAGAATTTAGAAAGGGACCAGCTTGCTCACTGTGCGAACCAGTGCTATTTTAAGTGGTGCCCACATGCACCGGAAATCATCTTGCGTAGCCTCAATGGTATATGCCTTCCTTTTGGGGTACCCTGGGTATGCCACTTCTCAGGGCCTTCCTCTAGGTCCTGAGCTAGATGAGTCTAACCTGCACATGCTTTGGTTCGTCCCCATCTGACCCCTGGCCAAGGTGAGACATGGACACAGGCAGAAAGCGCCCTAGGTCAGGCCCAGCCTCAGCCCCCTGACAGCCCCTAGTTGCAAAGCTGCCAGGGTCTCTCCTGCAGAGGAGAGACCCAGGAAGGACAGACAGGTGGACAGAGACCTAGACATACAGGCAGGGGCACAGCAGTGTGAGCTCGGGTCCCCTCCTCTTCCGTGGACTGCCCACCCACAGGCATAACAGCCCACCAGCCAGCTTGTGCCCAGTTGGGCAGCTGGGGTGGCCCCAGGCCTCTAGATGGTTGTAACGTGGGTGCATGCCCAGGCAGGAAGGCTCCCTCATCTGTAAACTGAGAATAAAGGCCCTGCCCACGCCCTCCCAGGGGCAGGGGCAGGAGAGGGCTGGAAGGGCTTGTCACACTTGTCCCAGGTCCCCATCCTCAGCCACAGGAGGGATGGCTGGCAGTCAGACGGGCCCAGGTTACGAGAGGGAACCAAGATGGTACCAACCCCTGTCCACACGGGATCTTCCTCTTCGCTGGCTCCTGAGCTGCCCCGGGGGCCCTGCCCGTCACCCTGCTGTGCCATCCGGCAGGACATGGAACGAGAGCAGACAACAGGCACCCCAGAGAGAAGGGATTGCTCACAGTTTTCAAAATAGAATCGATGGAAGTCCAGGCCCTCGACCAGGTTCCCCAGGGCCTCAGGTTCGAAGGCCGTCATCCCGGGGTCACACATCTTCCTAGGGGGAGGAAGTCAGAGGAAAGAGGGGTTGGGGTGGCCTCTTGGGGCCGCCCTCTCACTCCAGGGGCCTGGACTGGAGGAGGGTGGGCCTGCGACATTGGAGGGATTGCGCCCATGTCACAGGATCAGTGGGGTCAGTGGGTGGGACCGGGCTTGCGAACTGTACCGTGAGGCACCCACCGCCCACCAGGGGGTGCCACTTAGAACTCAGAAGCCTGGGTTTGGCTCTGGGGCCTGCCACTCGCTGGTCATAAGACCCCCAGCACCAAGCAAGAGCACCACGAGGGGCCGCGAAGCGTCGTGCGCAGCACTCAGGCGCTGGCCGGGGTAACTCAGCCTGTAGGCTCCTCTCCACATCGCATCTCCCCGCCCAGGGCAGCAGGGCCCGGAGCGGCTTTTCCCAATTTGCCTTCCTGGCGGGGGAGGACTTTTTCCTTCACATGAAAGTGACTTCTGCTCACAGAGCAGGTACGTCCCTGGAGGGGGTGCGTTTTGCTTCTTTAAAGGTGCCCCTTTTGCCCTCAGTGTGAGCCTCAGTTTCCTCTTCTGTAACGTTAGGAAAGTAGCCTTCCATGAAGTCATGCTTGGGAGGAAGGCGTGTATTTTCAGCTCAGAGCTCCCTTCCAGGTCTCAGCCTTCTGGGGAACCCTGACAACCAGGTTGAGGAAGGAAAAAACTGTCTCCCCCACCCCCAGGCCTCTGGAATCTGTGGCGCAACACAGACCCCCGTTACAGTGACAATGCAGCCAAGCACAGGAAGTACCTCAGGACAAGCAAAGATCCCAAGCTGGGGAGGAACCGGAGCCAGCGGGCGGACAGGTATCGGGCCCTGTGTTGTCTGAGTTGGACACTGTGGTGACTGCAGGGCACTCTATCCCTGCTCTTCCCTGACGGTCCTGTCCGTGTGACCCCGGACAGCTCGCGTCTCCGCTCAGCACCTCAGATTCTCCAAGTGGATTGGGAGGGGCTGGGGGCCCTGCTCAGACCATATGAGATGCTTGAGACCCTTGAGTTCCAGAAGCCTTCAAGGTTGGGGGCCTGAGCTCCGAGTGTTGGGGAGACTGAGCACCCTCACTGGAGAAGCCCTTCTCCAGGAGGTCTCTGGAGTCCCTGACTCTGAAGCAACTCAGAGACCACTTGCTCCAAGTCCATTATATATCTAGGGATACTGAGGCTCAGTGAGTGAGGGTTACACAGGGCCAGACTCGGGGTACCACAGGCTCCAGAGGTCATGGCACGGGGTCAGAACCTAGAGTAGGCTGCACATGCCAGGGAAAGTAACATCACAGAGGTGGGAGGGGGGGGTTCCCAGAAATGGCACTGCGGGGAGGGGGGCTGGGGTCCACAGAAACCGCCTCTCTTTCCTTCCCTCCCTGGCTGTATCTTTCCAGAGATAGTCTCAGGCTCGTCCCGTGGCTGACTTAGCTCTCTTGAGGGCTGGCGGCAAGACCCGTTTAACGGCATGTTTCTGTGCTTTTAGGCTTTACCCAGGTAAAGTCACAAACGTGCACGTGTGGACAAGTGCATGCACACACGCATCCATGCGGCCTCAGTCTCCCACCTGTACCTTCTAGAGTCCTGGTTCCTCCGACAGAAGCAGTAGGTTGCTGGGGCTTTGCCACCCGCTGCTGCTGAAACCCTCCCACAATTAAAACGCACCTGGCCTGCCTTTGGGAGACAAACTTAAGCTCCTGGGCCCAGTGGAAACTGGGAACCAGCTGCCCAAGACCCAAATCCCAGTTAAGTTATTCCTACCTCACCTAAACCCAACAGGCACGGGTCATTCTGCCTCAGTTGGCAGCTTTTGTCCACCAAAAAGCATATGTGGGGTCTTGTCAGCCCTAGCTGAGATGTTGAGGCCTCAGCCCAGAATCCTCCCGCTCCCTGGCGTGCGCCTGCTTCTGGGCCAGACCAGGCAGGGTGGAGGGGTGGCCACTAGGGGGCGCTCCAGCCCAGCCTTTGCACACAGCTGCCCCTTGACAGGCTGGTCCAGGTGGGTAGGGGACATCTCCTACCATCTGTTTCATTTTATGTTATTTTTGGACACTTGGCCTTATTCCTCAGAGGATTTAAGGTTCTGTTTGAGGTTCTTTGGCTCGCCCCTGCTCACTGGAGGACGCACCCCATGGGTTCCTGCCTACTCCTGCCCACCTGAGGTCAGAGGCCTGAGGAGGTGCAGGGTGAGGAGCAGGCCCATGCAGCAGGTCTGAGGAGAGGCCCGCCTCCCTCCCCTCCTTCCCCGCTCATCTCCTGCGGGGGCCCGTGCTGTGGTGGGGAAGCAAAGGAGTTTGGTTGGAGTTCCTCCTGGGGAACAAGAGATGAGGAGGACCGAGAGAGAGTATTGTGAACAGAAAGCTTCATTAAAGCATAAGGTCTAAATGCAAAACAGAAGTATGAGTTCAGTCTGGTTCACGGCACATGCAGAGTGAGTGACTGAGGGTCAGAGACGAGGACCCCCAAAGTTAGCCATCAGCGCCCCCTGAACAACGATCCAGGCAGGACATGCAGAATGGACCCAGCCGACTCACGTGTAGGACTCAAAATCTCCATTGCTTATGGCTTCAATCAGCTGCTCTGTCACTTTAATAATCTCCTGTTTCCGCACTGTAAGGCAGGAGGAGACACAGAGAAATGATAGTAATAGTAATGAAGCACCAACTACCATTTTCTGAGTCCCTATCATAGGCCAGGCCCTGCGCTAGGATCTGAGGGCCTCGTAGAGACGGTCTCTGTTAGCCTCACATTATCCCTGGGAGGTCGGTATCACTACTCCCATTTCACAGAAGCAGAAACTGAGGCCCAGAAAGGTGGAGAAAGGTGGGAAATTTCCCTCAGCTGCAAAGGGCAGAGCCAGCGTCCCGGTTTGCAGCCTTTACCTCGGTGAAGCATGCATGGTGGATGTTCTGACGTTAGGCCTGATGGGAAGCCAGGCTGACTCCAAAATACGCTTCTCTGTCCCCTTGCTTTGCCACCTGAATCAAAACTGGGTCAACAGCGGTGGTTGTCACTAGCAGCCGCGAACCAGGGGCTCTCCCTGGGCCCAAACTGGGGCCCTTAAGGAAGGTCTTAGGGCTTACTCATCCCTTAGGTCTGGGTGAGCTTTTTGTTCCATTTGGGGGCCGATAGGAATCAGGCACCGAGGGGTTCAGCACTTTCTAGCCCTAATGAATCCCGGTTGCTGAGACCTGGCCTCCGCTGTCCACCCTGAAACGACCAATCGCTGGTCTTTCTGGTAGAGGCTTAGGTATCCGCTTTCACGTTAGATGTGCGCTGTTCTGAGCCCCAGTTTTCCCAGCTGTGAAATGGAAACAGCACCACCTCTCGTCCCTCCAGTGCCAAACCCAGACTTGAGTACCAGACAGACTTCCCGTCAGGCCCGGCGCAGGTCCTCACAAGCTGTGTGACGCGGCCACAGGGTTCCTGGGCTGTCCGACCGAGACAACAGCGCCCCCTCCCGGTGATGAGGTAACGAGGTGGGATGAGGCGCTGCGCACCAAGCGCCTGGCACACAGTAGGTACACACTTTTAAGCGTTGCCACTTCCTGCCTCCTCCTACACAGGTGGCCACACCCGCTCCTCACAGACACCCCGGGAGGTCAGCAAGGCCAGCACCCCCCGATCTGACGCACGCGGAGACTGAGCCTCGGTGACGGAGGAATTTGGAGCCGGGTGTCCTGGCTCCCAGCAGGACCGTCCCACCCGAAGCCTGGCGCGGTTCCCTGGGGCAGGCTCTCCCCACCACAGGTCCAAGCTTCACTTGCAACCCTGTCAGCTGGCTGGCCTACGGAGCAGCCTCCGGTGAGGTACGTGGGCACGTTGCCATGTCTCAGTCTGGGACGGAGGGAGGGGAGCACGCCTGGCTGAGGCCCTGTCCCTGCCCCTTTCCTCACCACTGCCCGTGCCACCCTACCCCATCTGCGGCTGGGGAGCTCGCCTCAGGCCCAGAGGACACAGAATCCTACAACGTCCAAACTGAAAGAACCTGTGGACACCAGGGACTCAGCCTCCTTTTCAAACTGTGGGGGAAATGGGGGCCCAGGAAGGGGTTGACTTGCCCAAGGACAAAGAACACCTTGGTGCAGAGTCTGGCTCCCAGCCCAGGGCGTTTTCCACAGGACCCCCCAGCCCCCTCCACCCCGTGCTCCCTGACGGGTTAGGCCCGCACACTTGTCTATTTCCCAACTCAGAGACGTGCTTCATGGAAGCTGGGCTATGGCTGCCCTTGTCACACTGGACGCCTGGACCTGGAACAGACCTGGCGCCACAGGCATTCCCCACTGCACGAACAAGCGTCCTAGGCATTACGCTGTGTGCTCAGCCTGCAGCACCTGGAAGCTTCACGGCATGGCCTCGTGTGGCTATCACTTCCACGTCAGAGTCGGGCAAGCCGGAGGTGAGAGAGGTTGACTAGTCTGCTGTGGGGGGCCGACCGCCCCCACCAGAGTTTGTGGTCCCAAAGCCCGTCACACTCTCCTCAGGGCAGGGGCCCTGTGCCCAGCATGGCTCTTGGCACACAGTGGGTGCTCTGTAGACATAAATGGTCGCTATCTTCAATGTCAGTAGCACAGTGAGAGGCTAATCCTTTATCTCCTGGCTCTGCTAAGATTTACCAGGGCTGGGGGTGAGCCGGTCTTGGGCCAGGAGACTGAGGCCTTGCCTGGGGTGGGGGCAGAGGAGGCAGGAATGAATGAATCAGTGGGTGGACCTCACCAGGGCCTGGGGCTGCTGTCTTTGCCCTGTGTGCTGGAATCTACCAAGTTGCCAGGGGGGTCTCTGTCCCTTGGAGCCCAAGAGCCTGGCCTGCTGCCCAACTCTGCCTTCCTTCATGGAGACCAAGGGCAAGAAGACACCCATCCCTGCCAGGAGACTCCTCATTCCACTCCCACTCACGATCCGGGTGATGATCCAGAGCGGATCCATGTGCTCCCAGCAGGCCATAGGACCTGTGCCACCTCCTAGCTTTCTCTACACAGACGTTAAGATTCCTTCCAGCCTGACATTCCATGAGCCTGTGCTTAATTAATGCCCTACCTCCCGTGGGCTCCTTCTCACTGCCATCCCAGAGACACTAGGAAAATGGTCAGGGGCCTGGATTCTGGAGCCAGACTCCCTGGGTTTGGATCCTGACTCTGCTACTTAGTAACTGTGACCTTGGGCAAAATACTTCTCCATGCCTCAGTTTTCCCGTATGTATAACGGAGCTTCTAATGGTACTTACCTCACAGGGTGGTTCTAAGGACTGAGTTAAGGATGCATCAGTAGAAATAACTAACACATATATGGTTCTAAGAACCGGCTACTGTTCCAAGCCCTTTCTATCAACTCATTTATGTCGATAATGATGCATAATATAAAGCATTTAGAGGAGTGCCTGGCAGTCCGTGAATAAGAGCTATGATTATTATCATCTGGAAATCTCTGAATTGGAAGTTCTCCCTGAGGACAGCCTCTGGTCTCTAGCCAGGGCATGGATGCTTCCCAGCAGCCTGAGATGTGATGGATGCTTCCATCTTGGTTGGAACTTTGGGGCTTGCAGCCTGCCAGGAAGCCTGACACACTGTCGGGCATCTCTCCCTTTGCACCCACCTCCTTCTTCTTTAAAGTCAGACTCTCCCCCGTGAAAGCCCCTTGCTTTCTGGGGCCCCAAAGGGTGCACCTGCTTCCCCAGACCCAATGCCCTCCCCTTACCAGAAGACTGGTAAGTCTTCTCTTTCTAGGGCTGAAAGCCTCCAGGATAGGGTTTGCAGGATCTGAGTTAAGCTGGCCATCCACTCTTTGAGGGTGCTTGAGCTGTTTAAATGCCTCCCTGAGTGTTAGCACACAATCCTCAATGTGGCTTGAATATTGCAGAATATCAGGTCTGGGGCAGAACTCTTTATCCCCTCTCCAATTCTGGACACTATACCTCTATTAATGCATCCAGAGATGATGCCTGACTTGGCTGTGCCTCTAGCCACTCAGGACATCAAGTTTGCCAACAGTGGAAGGCTAGTGGGCAGAAATCTCCCTAGTAGCTTCATCTCTAGGACAGAAGATCTGGGAATCTGGTGCTTCTTAGATCTGGAGAAACTCACTTTGGTTTTGGGTCCCTTCCATGTCCTCAGCAGTCCTGTTGCTGTGAGAGATTCATTCGGCAGCTTCTCAGCAGCAACCTCTGGCATTTCTCATCTGCCATCCAGGAGTGCTCTCGTTCAGATGGGAAAGCTGAGGCCCCAGAGAGGTTATGGCACTCTCCGAAGGTCACACAGCATGCCGAGGCTCAGATGGGATCAGCATTCCTGGCTGGTATTTCCCAGAAGGTCTCTGCCTAGATTCTGAGGCAGCTCTTTGGGTTGGGGAGGAAATTAATTTTTCATGGAACTGACCAGTAGGAGGTAGGGAAGTGGGAAGGAAGCCTGGCAGAGCCCCGTCCGCGCAGCTCAGGGGGCCAGAGGCCTGTGCATTAAGCCTGAGGTGCTCTGAAATATTAATGTCTCTTTCTTTGCTCAGGGGAAAATGTTCCCTGGAGGATGACATTTCTAATTAACTTTAATGTTAGGTCAGAATCTACCCCACCAGATGCTATTCTCACTTAGTGAGAAGACTTAACAAATTAACACCAGAAAATGGTTGTTTGTGTCTTTTTTTAAACTTTCTCTGAGGCCTGAAGAAGCTGGGGGAGGCACAGGGCTCCTCTCTCCTGCCAAACACAGGGAGAAACTCCTGGCTGAGCCAGTGTCTCTTCTATCAGACATGGCCTTTTACATGTGGGGAACTGAGGCAGAGAATGGGGCCCCAGTTCTGCCATTAATAACCTGGATGTGCCCTTTCTCTCTGGGCCTCAGATGCCCCTCTGTAAAAGGGTGAACTAAAATTTAAGACTCCACAAATTTTCCCATCCTGATCTCTCTAGAGCAGAGTCTAATGGCAGCAAATGTGGGGCCTCAGGGATGCCACCCAGAGCCATTACCCCAGGTGGAAAATGTCTTCGATGGGTCACATTTACATTTATAACACATACAAATTTTGCATTCCTTTCCAAATATTTCTAACATACAAATATCTGTCTTAAAATAATCTGAGTAAAACTGATGCTCCAAGAAAATTTCATGTGGCTTCCTGTCATTCAGCCATAAGCTCCAGTTTGAAAAAAAAGAAATTAAAATTTATTAAACCATGCGAAATCACTTTATACACAGCCTCTCATTTCATCCGCACAGCAATCCTCTGAGATTGATAGTATTATCTTCAACCCTTTACCGAAGGAAAACTGAGGCTCAGAGAGGTTGAGTAAGTTGTCCAAAGTCACCCAGCAAATGGACTGCCGTGAAGAAGCACAGAGCCAGTTCACCTCTATGATCCCTGTCTGCTCCAAGACCAGCACTATGAGGCCATATGGGTTTTTCAAAATCCCAGTGCCTCTTATCATTAGGACAGCGAGCCTCAAATGTGGGGACAGTCTTGGAAATGCCATGTCTTGGCCTTCCACAAACCTATGGAATCAGAGTCCACAGGGCCGGGCTGGGAATGTGATTGGAAACACACCTGAGGGACTTAGAATGTACACTTGCCCCCGATGGGGAATTTTTCTACAAGATCATTGGTTTTTAAAGGTCGTCCCTAGTGCCATAGGGGAAGACTGATCTGCTCCAGTACCAGGCTGTGGTGATGAAGTGACCGCCCCCACGGCCCGGCTGGCAATGACCACACAGGGACCCACAGGGTGGGGCGGGTCTTCCAAGGCACCCGGGCGGAGTCAGGAGGTAGTCATGGTGTTCAGTGTGTGCCAAACTGCCTTTACAGGCGGAAACGCAACTGTGCAAAAATGTTTATTACGTCATAAAATGCTCTTTGCCCCTTCGCTGTACTCTTTTAGGGGCCAATATCTAAATAGAAAAATGTCTACGCTGGTACAGCTGCAATCTCTCCAGGTTAGTGGTGTTCTTCTAAGTTGCAGGACTCCCAGGGGTCTCTGACATGCGCTGAGCGTGAGAACCCCAGCCCTGGCTAGTCTCCCGGTCCCGTGGGACAAGCACGGTGGGTGCGGGCAGGACAGCAGGACTTCGCTGACTCGTCCAAGGATGTGGGGTCCTCTGAACAGAAGGTGACACCCCTCCTTCTTCCTCCAACTCCAAGCACGCCTGCCACAACCGAAGCCTTTGAGCCGCGGTTACGGGGTTCAAATCCTAATTCCACTCTTAGGAGCTAGGGGACCTTGGGCCAATTTACCCAACCTCTGTTTCCCAGGCTGCAGAATGGGCTTGACCACAGTGCCCAGCTCACAGCTCAGGTAAATGTAAAGCACCTGGACCGGGTTTGGCACACAGCAAGTGCCCCTCGCAGGGTGGCCACGATTATCGTCCTTATTAGCTCCCCTCTTACTAAGCCGGTCACAGTTCTCTGGGGTTTTGCTCCTTCCTCCATCTGAAGGCTTGTGGGGACTGTTAGCCACTGGCTACAGTAGCCCCTGCCCTTTGGGGGTTGGTCTTAGGCAAGGTTTCTTGTCACCTGAATTTTCTGAATTTTTTGCTTTCCCTTCCCTTCCTCTTGTCACTTCATGTTTTTAGAATCAACTCATGTTTATCATTTATTTATTTTTAAAGTAAGCTCTATGCCCAACGTGGGACTTGAACTCACAACCTCAAGATCAAGAGTCGCAAGCTCACCGACGGAGCCGGCCAGGCGCCCCTGAAATCAACTCATTTTTTTAAAACAATTCAAAAAGAAAATGTATGCCACCATGATACATTTGTGACCTGAATAGGGTCATTTTTCCCCCTAAAATGTACTAAACTACGCACATAACCCCTGCAGGAAGCAAAGTCCATCTGCGTACTGCCAGGGGACCGAGTACCTCGCGCGGGACACAGTGCCTTGCAGTGGCACTGCCCAGTCTGCAAGGGGCTACGGCCAGGTTGTCTGTGGAGGAGCAGAACACAAGGTTGGCCCTGGGGCCCTTTCAGGCCGGGGCTGTTAGTGAAGGGGGCCTGCCGGGAGGCCCGGGGGGCCCAGACGCTGAAGGCAAGGCCCCCCCTACCTTTGGTGTCTTCATCCTCAATGGTGGTGTTGGTACTCTCTGAAGATTCCTGCCAGAGAGAACATGGGAGGTGGTGAGGCCCAGCTGGCGAGCAGGAAGAGGCTCGGCCCGTTGGGGGCTGCCCCCCGGCTGCCTGATGCTGTGGCCAGGTTTCTGTAAGCCCCCCTGGCTCTGCCATCCAGATGCTGCCCTGAAAACCCTGCCGGACTTCCGAGCCTGAGGAAGGGAAGGGCCCAGCTAAGCAGGTGGCTGGTGGCAGGGGGCGTGGATGAAGGGGTGGATGCGAGGAGAACCCTGGCCTTTCTGGAAGGGCTGGGAGGGCTCCCCGGCCCTGTCTGCTTGAGGGAGCAAAGAGGGGGTGTGGAAGAGCAGAGAGGCTCATGGTGGCCACAGAATGGGGAAGGAATACACACACTGGCAGGAGAGGAAGAGAGAGAGGTGGGAAGGCCCAGTGTGAGAGAGGCTGGGCTTTTCAGGGGGAGAAAAACCACACAACTGCGGGAGACAGCCATGGAATCAGAAGAAGAGGGATGTGGGCCACCATGCCACCACTGGAACCCCTAGACAGAGGCAGGGGCTCGTGGCCCCTCTGCCACCGGCGGGCCCCGGGGAGCATCGAGAAGCTCAAGAAGGGCCTCTCTGGCGCCCACTCCTTTGGCCAAACCAAGCCCCCCCCACGCCGCAACCGGCACAAACCAAGCCCTGAGATGAGATCTAGAGCAGAGGGCGGGGAGAAGCAAGAAGCCAAGGGCTAGACGTGGGATGGCGTTCAAATCACCCTTCATACCTGAGGGGGTTCTCAGGTCTACGGCCAGGCGGCTGGTCTGGGCCATGGAGTTGGAGGTGTCAACAGAAACACGCAAACAACACGCACACACAACACACAGATTGTCACACAAGGCACACGTACCAAGCACGCCCTGAGCACCCTCTCCCCGCCCCGGGTTCCCAGTGCAGCCTGCAGGAGGGAGGCAGGAGCGAGGGTTCGAGGCCCAGCATTTACCGGCGTTTGGGAGACGGCAGACACTCACCATTAACTGAACGCTGGAACTGGACTTTCTTTTCTGGAAAAACAAGGAGAAGAGATGGGACAGGAAAAGACACGGCGTGAAAACAGCAGGGAGCAGAGAAACAGCAGGGAGCAAAGGAACGAACGACAGGGGAGGTTTGGAAGGATGATGGGCCTCAGGGTCATCCTCTACGGTCCCTTGCCAGCATGGCACTGAGGCAAGAAGTCAGGGCCACGAGCAAGACCTGCCCAGCAGGGCCAGTCCTCTGTCAGCCTGAAGCTCTTGGGCGCCTCATGCACAGCCGCCTGGGGCTCACCATCCAACCAGCAAGCTCCGGCCCAAGCCTCCCTTGGACCAGGCCTCCCTCTACACCAAGCTCTGATGGGGGCAACAAACCCTGGGCCTTGGACGCCAATTGCCTGAGGCCTCTGGAAGCCAAAGCTCTTGCAGGACCAAAGGGTGCTCGGGTCTGGAGATGAGGCCCAGTGCCCCCTCCTAGCCTCCCCGTGTGTCTCTACTAAAAGAACCCCACCCCTGGTTTGGTCGAGTGTCAGAGTCACTTGGGAAACCTGTCCAAAAGAAACATAACCAGGCCCCCTCAAGGAGTTCAATAACCAGGTCTGGGGAGGGGCCTGGGCAACTGCATTTTGAACAGTATCCCCAGCTGACTTCAAAGCAGGCCCGGCTATGGAAACCAGTCCTCTAAGTGGCCTTTGAAATCCTGCTTGTGGTCGCAGCTTCCCAGCGACAGGCCTGTTCAGCTCCCTTATGTTGACAGAGAAACTGAGGCACGGCCAGACGCATAGCTGAGCCCTGCCATCGCTCCTAGTCCAGCTTTTGGAGGATTTGCAGCTTCACTCGTACTACTGGCCGTGGAAGCAAGGAAAGGGGAGAGAGAGAGAGGAGGACACGTTGTCCTCTCGTTCTCCCACTCTAAGCCAGGAGTCATAAAGACTCGCATTCAGGGAAGGCGGCAGGCCTAACACTTGCATTGCATGGATGGGAAGCTGGGGCCCAGAGACGGACAGTGACCCGCCCGAGGTCTCTCAGCTGGCTGGTAGCAGAGCGGATGCTAGAACCCCTGAATGTAGGCTTTCTCCTCTGTCCAGGTCTCCAGACCCCGCGGCCCGACTACTCTGCCTCGGCTCGTCCTTCCCAGACGCGCTTCCATCTGAGAGGCCTGGAGGCTGTTCTCCTTGCTGTGCTATGGGGGGGCGCTGTGTGGAGGGAAGGACTTGAGACGCCCTCAGGGTGGGCCTTTGCCCTGTGGGAGGCACTGGCTATTCTCTGAGGATCTTTAGGTCTAATTCTGGCTTTTCTGACTCCAAGATCCAGGAGCCCTGAGGGCCTGGAGCCCGGGATCCTGTGCTGTCCTTCCAGGGCCCCCACAGATGTGGCAGAAGCGGCTTGCTGGGCATTGCCCGGCGTAAAGGCTCATGGTCCCTGCCTCCGCCCCAGCTGGGTAGATAGTGGGATTCCCACAGCCAGCAGCCTGCAGCCAGGCCCTAGGGTCGGCCTCGCTTCTGGCCGGAGCCCGGCCAGGCACAGTGTACATGGGAGGGGACCGGCCCTCTCAGCTCGCCGTCAGCAGAAACCTGAGGAACACGGGGGCCAGGGTTCCAGGCGGGACACGAGGAGGGAACACAGAGCAGAGACTGCATCAGAGTCGGACATACAGTGACAGGATGGGACATGGGGGAGAGGAGTCACGATAGCACGGATGGGACACCAACGGGGGCAGTGAGTGGGGTTGAGGGGTGGGAGCAGTCGGCCGCTCGTCATAGAAGTAGAGGCTTAGAGGTGGCTGGGGGCGGGGGGTCAGCACTCCTCGGGAACAGAAAGACTCGATTTTCCTGGATCACAAATGATGACGGTACTAATAATAACCCCATACTGACCAGGATCTTTCACCACAAGTAGACTCACATCTCTCAGAACCACGTGTAGAAGCATGGTTCTAGGGTTAGCAAAGATGGTAGAAATAAAGTAGGGTCAACATTAGCCTCGAGAAGCCCCTACAAGCCCATAAAATACAGTATCTCTGTTCTCCAGCCAGCCCATCTTCCCTCCAGCTAAGCCTCTGATGAAGGTGGTGGTTTCTCCAGGGACCATGTTGTAAGAAGAATACGTACTTCCCCACTGGGGCTGAACATGTGTTGCTTAAAGGAGCTCATGGTGTGATTCCCCAAGGCCCACTCCGGTGCAAGCCTCTCGCTGGCCCCACCTGCCCTTCCCCCCTCCTTGCACGGACGGCAGAACTGATGACACAGGTCTCCAAAGTGGGGGACGATGGGGCCCGGCAAAACCACAGCTTCTGGACTTGAGGTCCAGCATCACTCGTAGTGAAACACATGACTGGACCTCCAACATATTGCAGGCCGGGCTCCCCAAATCCCGGGGAGATCCCCTGGTTACTCTCATCTTCCAGCTGGACTTTTCTCCTTCTCCACCTCCAAAAGGGGCAGGACGCTGAGCTACAAAGAGACAGTCTGGCCAGAAATAGCCTTTGGGTCTCTCTTCATCCACACCCCAGCCACCCTGAGAAGTCACTCGGGGTCCGTCCTGCTGCTACAGGAAGGAGTGGCTTTTTCTTCAGCCATGCCCACTGGTGAGCCCTGCAGTGACTGGCCACCATGCTCTGCGATGTCCTTGCCCTCAGACAGCCTCTGCCTCCTGGCCTTGCCTGGAGAGGAGCCAGAAGAAAGCTTCGTCCTAAGACCCGGCCCGAGGCAGGCCCTGACCTCACGCCCGTGGCTCTGTGTCAGCCCTTTGCCAGGGCCAACCCAAGAGCCAAGCCGATGGGGTAGCCCTCTGTCTGCCCCCTTCTCCTCCACTGACCTGGGCCACAGCTCACTGGCCCCGGTGGCCTCTGCCCTATATCTCCCAATTATGATTTTTCCCAGGGAATCCAGCCTCCCCAGGGTCTACACGCTATGGCCGAGAGGGCCCCAGCTGCTCCAAACTGGGCCACCCCCAAATTGCACATCCCCCCATTACCCTTTCCAATTAGAGAGGGGAGAGAGTTTGATTCACGGGTAACCCAAAACAGCAAGTAAGCCAGAACTCAATTCTGGATGCCATCATAGGATTTGGGATAAGCGGGTGTTAACTTTATAAATTGGTTTGGCTTTAGATCTGTGTTTCCAAATACTTGCTTGATCAAACTTTGTTTTCAAGAGACATCTTACTTGAAAGTCTAATCTAGAAAACACAATACTGGCTAGCATCTCATGAGCATGTATCCCGTGCCAGTACCTCTACTAAACCCTCAACACCCATTATCTTCCTTCATCCTCACAAGCAGCCCTGGGAGGTGGGAATCCCTTTTACCCTCATTGCCCGGATGAGGAAACACAAGCTCAAGGGATTCAGATACTCAGACGAGGTTTCCAGCTGCCAAGTCCAGCCTGGCTCCCTTAACCACTGCGATGTCTGTTACATGGAGCTGTTCTGGCTGTAGTGGGCACGAGGAAGCCCAGAACCTTCTCTGCTCAGCCTCCCCCTTACTATCCCACTCTACCCCATCCGCTCCTAAGGGTACCTCCCCAAAACCTTCAGGCTCCAAGAAGTTCAGTTTGAAAACCACTGACTTTGGCTGATAACCAAATAATTATGTATTCCTCAAGTACTCAAGATGAGAAGGAAAAGTGATTAGATAGGGTTTTGTTGCCTTTTTCTCTTCTTTTCTGTTTTTAAAGCTTAAATCTTGGAAATCATGGAGTCCGCACCCCTCCCACCCCACCCATTGTACCTATGAGGAAATTCAAGCCCCCAGAGGGCTCAACGCAGCAGAGAGGCCCAAATCCTGGCCTCACCCAGCCAGCCCAGATCTCCTCCCATGCAACCCTCAAACCAAAGCCAGTGGCCTGAGACCATAAATACTGCTACAGTGAAGCCATGAAGCCACCGGCGCACCTGGGTGGCTGTGTTTGGACTGCATCCCACACCATCCAGGGTCCTGGGCACAGCCCAGCCCTGGGGTCCTGGCCAGGCAGGGCTCTGAGCCCAGAAAAAGGCAGGGTCTCAAGAGAGGAGAACCCACAAGGCAAGCCAGTGGCAGGGGAGAAGGGAGCTGCAGAGAGGGGGGCCAGGCCCCAGAGAGCAGAGGGAGAAGAGAGAGGAGGGAAGGAGTGGTCAGCGGGTTGTGGAAAGAAGTAGCTCGGGCATCAGGGGTGGGGACGGAGGAGAGGCCTGGGTCAGGGGAGAAGGAGATTCTTGGCACCGAACTGGCCGGCCTTGACAGGGGTGGGTGCCTCTGGATCCCAAAGCCAAGAGGGGTGGCTATCCATCCTTCATGGGCTTTGTGGGTTGGACTGGGGTGCACACTGGGTCAGGGGCCCATCTCAGCCAGCCCACACTCGGGAAGGAAGAGGTCACCCCTCATGATCAGCTCTGTCTCTTCTTTGTACCCTCCCACTTTCCAGTCCTCCCATCTCAGAGAACCACAGAAATCTTCAGACCTGCTCCTTTCCTTGTGGCCACCCCCCACCCCCCAACTCCAGGCCACCTACCTCTCCCCCTCCCCCACCTGCCCCCACCAATCCTGGGGACAGCCCAACTGCACGAGTGACCACATCTGCCCAGAACACCGTCAGCAAGGCCTGGGTCTCGCCCCAGCCCTGAAAGCCAGGCCCTGTCGGCGGAAAGGCTGCCAGATACAGGCCCTGCCAGGCTCCCGGGGGCTTACCTTCACACCATCATTCTTCTTGTTTCCTCCACTCTTCCCTCCTGTGGAGGAGAAAAAGTAGAGGGTTACCAACACCAGGCAGGGCACCAGGGCCCACAGGGTGAGGAACAGCAACATCCGTGGGCAGGCGGAGGGCACGGAGCTGGCTCAGTGATCTGGGGGACACCTCCTCCTTCTGCCCCTCCTTCCTCCTTGGGGTCTGGACTGCCGGTGGCCCGCGAGGAGGGCCTGGGCTCCCCCGTCCTCAGCAATCCCGAGTGTGCCCCTCTGGCCCCATGGGTTGCAGAAGGTGACCAACGCGTCCCAGGCCCGTGGGGTTGCTGTTTCAGCCCGGGGATTCCCTCTGGATCCCGGTCACCACCCGTGCTGGTGGTGGCCAACCTGGAGGCCTGGCTGCCTGGCCCAGGGCTGGCCACTCCCTCCCCGCCCCGGCCCGCTCTAATTTTAGCCCCATGCTGCTGCCGAGGTCATGTGTCAGCCCTGCCTACTCACTCTGGACAGCTGCGAGCCTTGTTTTGCCGGTGAGAAGAAGCAGATGCCCCACTCTGGGGGCCCACCCCTGCCAGAGCGCCCATCCCCTATAGAGGCCTCCCTACCCTCCAACTCCGGAGCCCCATGCTAGGGCTGGTGGTGTCCGTGGTGGCTGGGAAAAGCAGAGCAACGGCTCTTAGGGAGGCCCCACCTCTGCCATTCCTCTTTCCCTCCCTCCTTGCCTCCTGGCCAGAGCCCTTGGTGAGGACGCAGCCAGGAATTGGCATGAATGCCCAGCCCTGCCCGGCCTGGCATCTGGCTGCTTCCAACCTCAAACAGATGCCTTATGTTAGAGACAGGAGATCGCTAAAGCACTTAGCACAGCACTTGACCTGTATGCAATAGATGCTCAGTAAATGGTAGCCGCTGTAAATCCTTCTCGAGGTGCCTGGGGATGGCGAGCCTGGGAGGAGGGGCGGCTCGGGACATGGACACCCCAGAGGCTCAGAGGGACAGGCTCATGCTGGCCCAGCCTCCCAGTCCCTCTCACAAGTCCACCTGCGACCCCTTCCAGGCAAGTTTCCCTCTTGCAGAGTAAATGCAGGGGTGAGTGCCACTGGATCCCGAAGCTGAGAGGAGTGGCTGTCCATCCTCTATGAGCTTCATGGGCTGGGCTGGGCTGTGCAGTGGAACAGGGGAATGGTCCCCCCTCCAGCTTCAGGGGGCCCTCTCAGCTCCAGCCCATGACCACAGGACTGAGGGTCCCATGAGGTCACATGTTCTGATTTTCAATAAAAGACAGAAATCTGGGTTGTTCTGTGAAATCTCCTCATTTTTAATTGCTGGAAACTCTTTTCAAAAACCCCACTGTTTTATGTTTTAAAACACCACTGGTCCCACAAGCCCGTCAAGAGATGGGAACTGACTCACGGGCACCATTTTGTGAGCTCTGGACTAGAGTTTCTAGGGGCACTGCAGAGGTTAAAAAAAGACTCTGACTGTCCGGGTGGCTCATCTTTCAGTTTGAGGAACTGCAGGATCCTTGTCTAGGGAGAGAGTGGGAAGGCAGTTCTGTGCGCTGGGGCGAGCCCACATCAGAAGTTCCCGGGTTTTCCCACCTCTGGGTCTCCTTCTTCCAGCTGGTTAAATGGGCAGGTGGACTCTCGGCAAAGTCAGAGGTATAGCTTGCCAGAGCTGACCCCTTGCCGTGGAGCCGGCCACGTGTCCGCAGCAGGCCCGTCTGGCCGGCCCCAGTCAGAGGGCCCCTTGGGTGAGCTTCGCCGTATCTGCTCAGTGGCCCTGTCAGCTGCCCGGTCTCCCCAGAGAGGGGCCCCTGGCAGGCGCTGGCCCTGATGCTCTCCAGTGTGCCAAGGGGAGCTTCTTGCTAAGCCCTGACACTAATCCTTTCCTCTTCTCTTTGGGGCTACATGCTGTAGGTCGTTGGGTACTCCCTGCCTTAACCAGCCGGCTCCGGCCCAGGCCAAAGGCTGGCTCCCTGCTGACCCATCTTGGTTAAGGGCACTTGCTCTGGGGTGGCTCAAAGCTGCACTAAAAGCAGGCTTTGCCTCTCTCTGCCTAGCCACGGCCCCCACTGCCTTGTCACGAAGGCCACCGAGTGAAAGCATGGGGCCTGCTTAGCACGGGGCTCAGTACCGGCAGGGAACGGGATTGTTGCTATTCCCTGGGCCTGGTTCAGTCTGCCTGGACCTATACCCCAACATTCGGGAGGCCTCCCCCTCGGGCTGGAGGCCCAACCTGAGAACCCCAGCACTGCTGTGAGGCTGGGGAGCCAGACTCAACCTCGAACCCTTCCTCGTAGGCCTTTCGCTTGCTGGCCTTTCGGCTCCAGCCACTTCTGGGTGCAGCTGACTTAAGCCCCCAATCTTAGGGTCCTCTGTAGCCCTCACTCTCCGCAGGCCCCTGGCCTGAGGCCCCACGGATATCCGACGGGACAATGCTCCCAACAGACCTGTGCAGGGTGTATTTGGGACTTTGCGGTCCCACCACCTACCAGAGAAGTTCCTGGTAGCCAGCATAGTGGTGAGGATGGCTCCCTGCAAAGATAAGGAGGGGGTGTGGGAGACAGGAGGTTGGAGGTGAGGGGGGGAGAGGAGAGACAGAGAAATGGGACAGGAGGGGGGAGGGGGGGCAGGTGCTGCCTTCAGACACAAAGCCAAAGCTTTCTGCCTTGCCCCTCCATTTGCCCTCACCCCACAGCCAGGAGACCATCCCTGCCTCCCTGGGGAAGTCGGGGCGAGCTGGGCCTTAGCTGGCACAGCTCCTAGAACAGGGCCATCCTAGCAGCAGATATTAATAGGTTCCACTGTCCTGGCCAGAGGTGGTGGAAGGGCTCGGGGACACCTGTCAGTGGGGACTCCTGAAGGCCAAGGACAATAGACCCTGCCCTCTTGGGCCCCCTTCACCCTCCACCAGGGCACTCGGTACCTTGCTTCATCACTAGTTCATCTTTCCCGGGGCTCCCGGGCTCACAGCGGTGGAGGGTTGACCTAGAGAAACTCTCCTGTCTCAACAAGGGGCCTAGGGGATGGCTCTCCTGGTTCTGACGCTCTCTGACCTGGACACTCTCTGAGATTTCCTCTGTGACCACTCCCAGTGGGGGGTGGGGTGGGACTTAGTTCTCCTGGCATCATGCTGGCCTGGCCACCCCCATGGCCCATGTCCCCTTCCTGGGCCACGACGTCAGGCCTGGGAGCAGTTGGTGAGGAGTTTCCGAAGGAGCTGGGGCCTCAGCAGCTGTCACTCAGCGTTCTGATGACTTCTCTGTTCCAGCAGGCTGGGGACTCCTCAGTTACTCTTCCTACCTGTTCATGGGGTCCCTGGCAAGGTCTAGGTCAGCAGCTATTACAGCCTGGGAGCACACTCCCCTTGCTCACGAGGCTGGCAGCTCCTGGCCCACCTGGGTCCCACTGTGGCTTCCTCTGGGCCCTGACCCCTGTCCACGTCTCTTGGCTTGCCCTCCCCAGCGCTCGGCAGCAGGGCCTCTCTCACCAACACTGGTCTCCTGCCCAGTTCCATCTCAGCCCCTAGACCCTCTCACCAGCCATGCCAAAACACTCACTGTCCCCCTACAGGGTCACGCTCATGCTTCCAGACTTAGGCATGAGCTCTCTCTCTGGAACATCTGTCCACTCTACACAGCTAATACCTACTTATCCTTTGCGGCGTCCGCCTAAATGCCACTTGCCCAGCAAGCCTTCCTGGACTGCTTCGCTGGTCCTTCCAGACCTGGTTCAAGGCCCTGCTATGGTCACCCCCGGCCTTGGGGCGTGCCCCGTCCCAGCACTCACCACTCCCCCTTACTGTCCCAGGTCCTTGTCTGTCCTTTCCACCTGCTCACTCCCCAGCCCAAACAGTAGGTGCTCAACACATGTTTGTTGACTCAGTGAAGGAGAGAACTCTTGAGTGAGGCTCTTGGCCTCTGCAGAGACCCAACCAAGCTACTCCATGTCTGGGGGCTACGGAGGGTGAGGACCTGTTACCTTCAGTTTTCTCCTGGCGTTGAACTTCTTCAGGCAGTCCACGGTCTCCTGTCTGTGCATGCAGGAGGCCACAGTGGATCGGTGCTGGAGGAAGTAGGGAGACGTCTGTGAGTGGGAGGCAGGCCCGCCCAAAGGCCCCTCAGCGGGGCATCTTGTGGAGATGTGGTTGGCATCTTTCGGGGAACAAAGCTTTGTTCTAGGGGATGTTGTAAATGCTGTAGGTGCTTAGCATCCCTGGCACCAGATATCCCATGCCAGTAGTACCCCTCGTCATGATGCCAACATAGAACGCCTCCCATTTCCACTTTCCCTTGAGAACTGCGGCAGGGCAGCATCTCTGGATGAAGCCCCCTTGATCCTATGCTGGGCCTGAGGGGCCAGGGGCAGGGCCAGGACCCCATGGGGGTCTGGACCCTGAAGTTGGGAGGGGCTCCTGGAAAGGGCCCTGCGGGGAAAGGCTCACCGAAATCCAGGGGTGCTTGAGGGCCTCAGCGGCCGTGATGCGCTTGGATGGGTTGATGGTCAGCATCTTATTGATCAGATCCTTGGCTTCTGGGGTAACAGTGTCCCATTCTGGTGACGGGAACTGGAAGGGGCAGAGGGGCCAGGTTTGCCCAGCCTACGCCAGGCCACCCCTGCGATCCCCCAGCCCCTGACTGGCAGGGGAGCAGGCAGGGGTCCTACTGTCCATCCACTGGGCATCCACAACCAGGAGGAGCTGGGATCCTCAATACAGGGACCCCTCTGGAACCAGAGGAGGGGCAGGGTCCTTGGTCCCCAGGACAAGTCAGAGCAGGGGCCAGAGGGAAAGGAGGCCTTCCTCTGTTTTTCTGAGGCTGTGCCTTATCTGGGGAGCAGGAGGCCAGTGGTTAGGGCCAGAGTTCAGAATCAGAAGGCTGGGTCCAAGTCCTGGCTCTGCCTCCTGGGCTGTGTGACTTTGGACAAGACATGTGACCCTCTAGCTGCCTCTAGAGATGTTGTGAGGATTAAATATGATACAAAACACATAGCATGTGGCGTGATAGAATCAGCCTTATTGAAAAGCAGTAGAGCTTGGTCATTAGAAGCACAGACTCTAAGAGCCAAACTGCCTGGGTTCAAATCCCAGCTCTACCATTTCTTAGCTATGCGGTGCAGGCAGTTATTTCACCTCTCTGTGCCTCAGCTTCCCTATCTGTAAAATGGGGATAATAATCATACCTATGTCATAGATGGGTATGAACATGAGCTCTAATAATATATAAAGCATTTAGAAGAGTGCTGTTAGCTATTATTATTATTTGTGTGTGCATTATTATTTTCAAGAGAGAGAGAGGGTGAGAGTTATAGCTTCTGGGGCCTACTTTCCTGACCTCCGGGGCCGTGCGTGGTCAGTCCTCAAGCTCCACCCGCCCACAACTAAAGAGTGGCAGGGGGCCTAAGTGGGTTGGGAGGGCGGGAGGGAGGCACCTCACGTCTCTGACCTCGCTGGGTGTTGGCTTTCACTGGAAGGGACGCAGGGGGTGGCAGGGAGGCTGGAGAGAGGAGGGACACTCACATCATAGGCGCCGGCTTTGATCTGCTGGTACAGGCGGTGCTGGTCCTCATCCCAGAATGGGGGGTACCCAACCAGCAGGATGTAGAGGATGACCCCTGGGGAGAGGACCAGGAGAAGCCTCACCCCCCTGTGAGGAGGAGCGATGAAGAGGGGAGGGATGGGAAAGGAGAAGGCACCTGAGGGGTAGGCGCCCAGGGGGATGAGAGGGCTTTGGGATGGACTCACCACAGGCCCACAGGTCCACAGGCTTCCCATACGGGTCCTTCCGCAGCACTTCCGGGGAGAGGTATCCCGGCGTCCCTGCAAACCCTGCTCCCCAGACACACAGACAGGCAGACACACACACAGAGGTTGGCACGTAAGCAACCCAGGGCAAGGTCCTGCTGGAAGTGGGATGAGGTTGCCCTGGAGATGGGGAACACACTCCCCGCCCCCAAGAGTGGGTCGAGGGCAGCAAAGCCTCTAGACCAGGGTGGACAAGTGCACAGGGCACCTGTCACCACCCCCACTCCAGAGCCTATGGCAGAAGTCTTTGGTCAATCCCAGAGTCCCTCCCGTGGGGTCCTGCCTCAGCGTCACACGCTAACAGCGCTCCTGCAGCCACTATCGCGTGCTGGTGGCACTCTAGACAAAATGTCCTCGCCATGTCAGCTGAAGGCGGAGCTGAACCCTTGCCCCTCCCCACCCTTCTGGGAGCTGGTCCTGGGCTAGTAGGAGGCCTGTCCCCAACTCTGGTTTTGCCCTAAGTCCCCTGGTGGGTCTCTCTTCCTTCGAGGCCTCAGTTCCCTCATCCGTCAAATGAGAGATTAGGGATTCCTCCCTTTACCACCTGCCAGCAGCGTGGGGAGAATCGCTTGACATAAACAGGCACCCCAAGTACTTGAACAAGGAATCATGAGAACAGTCACTATTTATTGAGTGTGTGTGCTCAGCCCTGGGCTGAGCACTTGCATGCCTGTTCTCAATGACTCCTCACACAGTGCTGAGCACCATGCTGTCATCACCCCCATTTTACAGATGAGGAAACGGAGGCTCAGCAAGCTGAAATGTCACACACCTCCTAAGTGTCAGAGTCGGAACTTGAACTCAGAGTTCTGACTCTTAACCACTGATCAATAGTGCCCACTGAAAAGGTTCCCCAGCTAGCTGAAAAAACTCAATTATGCCAAAACCTCTGAGCACGCTGGATCATCTGAGCTTAAATCCAGACTCTGCCCCTTTTACCTCCCCATGAACTCTTCCAAGTTTCTCGGTCTCTGTTCCTCGTTCATAAAGTCAGGATAATCAGCTCTGGAAGACACGGAAGCCCCCAGCCAACAGTGGCGGTGTGTGTGCATGTGGAGAAGCCATGTACTGTTTTAAGGATAACTACGTCCCTGCACCTGACCTCTATGGGGACAGGATGGGCAACACCCACTGATCAGAGGCTGTGTGGTGGGACCTCTGCTCCCGGAGCTCCGGCTGGTGCAACAGCAATCTCCCGCCTGCCCCTGCTTGGGCAGGGGGCTCCTAGAGGCCAGTGTGTCCACACAAGGCTGGCCCCCCACACCCCTGCCATCCCCTGCCCCCACTCACCGAACCATGCTTGCTGCTCCCCTTCCACCTCTATGGCCAGACCAAAGTCCGCCAGCTTCACCGCGGCGCCCTTGAGCTTGGAGGCCAACAACAGATTCTCCGGCTTCCCAGGACCAGAGAGAAGAGTGAAATGGAGGAAGAAAGAGCCAGGGGACAGTGAGCAGATTCAGAGCCTCACCTCTGGGGAGCCTGAGCCTACACAAGGAGGAGCTGGGCAATCCAGAGTTGCCTGTCCCCACTTCCAGTCCCAGCCACAGGACCCTGAGTTCCAGCCCCCAGAGAGGGGACTACCCTAGGGCAAGACCTCTGTCTTTGGCAACAGAAAGACCCTTTCTCCACCACCCATCCCCTCCTTCGCTTCTCCTCAGGGTTTGGGGCTGAGGCTGACGTGAGCGCAGGGAGTTGGGGAGACAGCCACCACCACATAAGGAAAAAGGAGAGATATTCATTGTGCCCCTACTATGTGCCAGCCACCGGGCTAAGTGTTGTGCAAATATCATTTCGCTTATCACCTCAACAACCTTTGGGGCAGGCATTATTATTCCCTTTCTCCACAGCGGCCTTCCTACATTCCCTGAAACAGTCACGCTTGTTTGTACCTCAGGGCCTTTGCACTCCCTGTTCCCCTTGTCTGATTTGCTCCTTCTCCAAGCTTCACAGAGCTGGCCTCTTCTCTTCATCTGCTCTCACCTTCGTGTCGCCCCTCAAAGAATCCCTCCATGACTATCTAAAGGAGGAGCCCCCAGGTATCCTCTGTCTTAGCAACTTGTTGTTACCTTCATAGATATCACCGCAATTTGTCATTTTTTCCCCCATCTGTCTATGTGCTTGTTCATTATCTCTTCCCTCTATAGACAGTGAGCTCCTTAGCTGTCTGTCCACCACTATATCGCCAGCACCTTTGGCAGGGGGCAGCACATAGCAGGCACTTTGTAAGTATTTGTCGTACAGATAAAGTTGAGGAAACCGAGGCTCAGAGAAGTTAAGTGACTTGACCAAGGTCACACAGCTGATGAGACACAGAACCAGAATCTCTCTCTGGCGCCCCGAGGCTGCTGTCTTTTGCTGGGTGTGGAGAACAGGAAATCCCCCCACACAGGCCAGAGGGGGGTTGAAATGAATTCTGCAATTGGATAGCCCTCTCCTCTGACCCAGCTCTGCCACTTCTATGCTATGGAACTTGGGCAAGCCATTTTACTTCTTCTTTTTTTTTTTAAGATTTTATTTATTTATTTGACAGAGAGAGAGAGACAGCGAGAGAGGGAACACAAGCAGGGGGAGTGGGAGAGGAAGAAGCAGGCTTCCCGCTGAGCAGGGAGCTGGATGTGGGGCTCGATCCCAGGACCTTGGGATCATGACCCGAGCCAAAGGCAGACGTTTAATGACTGAGCCACCCAGGCGCCCCAAGCCATTTCACTTTTCCGAGCTTTAGTCTCCTCTCAGAAAAATGGATAGAGCCCACCTCATGGGGTAGCATATGGATCAGTCGTGATAATCCATGTAGAGCACTTGGCAGTGGCCCACGGCACATGAGTGATGAGCATTAGCACTCACATTCTCTGCTTGGGGTGGGGTGGTGGCATGAGCTCCGTTTCCCTGGAGACGGCTGGTTTTCTCTGACCCCCTTCCCCACCGGGACTTCTGAGAGGGTCCTACCTCTGACCTTTCACTGCCCAAAGCTAGGCGGGACCCAAACAAATATAGCTCCTTCTGCCCCTCTCGAGGGCCTCTTTTATCCTCTGGGGACTGCGTTCCCAACGTGTCCTGGGTCTTGGTAGCCGTCCTGCCCTGATTTGACGAATATGCCGCTAATTAATCTATCCAGAGTGGCCTAAATTTGTGCTGCCTGTCCTCCTGTCCCCTCGAATGCAGGGGCCGTAGCTGTAATAGGAACAGGCCCTCTGGGAGAACTGCCCTGCCGTCTGGCCAGGACCCTCTGGGAGTGCACACTTGCCTGTGGGTCTAGACTGAGCCATAGGGAGCTCCCCTGTGAGAGTCGGAGGTAGACAGGGCTTCTGGGCAGAGCACTGCATCCCAGAGAGGGACCCGGACCTCCTGGACGGTGCCCAGGGAGCATGCCCAGAGAGAGGCTGTCCAGGCTGAGGAGGGCCTAGAGGGTCTGTCCCAGGTGGGGATGGAAGGGAACAGCCTGCAGAAGCCTGGGGAGGTACCACAAGTGCCTCTGGGGCCTGGGCTGGAGGCTTGATCTATGTGGCCCCAAAGGGCAGAACTGGGGCTCACAACCACAGCAGGAAAGATGGAAGGAGACTTTCCCAGTGGTTCAAGGGGCTTCCCCGTAAGAAGTGAGTTCAGAGTCACTGAAGGCCAAAAAGCAGAGGTTCAAAGGCACCTAAGAGGGGCTCCTGCAAGAGCAGGAACTGCGCTGAGTGGCTTTTTGGCCCAGGGGCTGGGGTCAGAAGGCCAGGGCTCCATCCTAGCTCAGGTACAACTGAACGGCATAGTCTTGGGCGAGTCCCTTGGACTCTGTAGGCCTCTGTTTGCTGCTCTGAAAATCGGGGGTAATGTTATGAGCTACTGGCCTCGATGCCTTGAGGCTCGGCAGAGGGGAGCTAGGAGTCTGTGCTGATCAGGCTACGTGGCTGGCACCAACCCTAGATCACACATCTGCCTAGGCCTGAAGAGGAGGGACTCCAGGAGCCCCAAGGCCTGTGTTTCTTCTCCCTGCATCTGCCAGGGACCCAGAAACAAGAAACACAATGTTTCTGTGCACCAGGTGCTGTGCTGTCTCCTTTGACAGAATCAGCAACCCCGAGCAGAGGTTGCCATGGCAACCCACCGTGAGGAAGCTGAGGCCTGCAGCTAGAGAGTGGCCTGGCCGGGACCTGGACCCTGGCCCAAAGCCTGGTCTGGCCCAAAGCACGTGGGCCTGGGTATCAGGAGACTGGATCCTAAGCCTAGATACTTCTCCATGCGCCCAGTTTCCTCATCTGAACAGTGGGGTGATTATTCCCCACCCACCCAGCCCAACTCAGGGGAATTAAAGGGATTCTGATAACCCCCCTGGCTCCCGGGGGAGCCGCACCCTGGGATGGGTCACTCACCTTCAGGTCCCGGTGCACCACACCCATCTGATGGCAGTGCAGCACGGCTTCCAGGATCTGCTGGATACAGTGACTGGGGAGAGAGAGGAGAGGGTCCCCGTGTGAACGCGGGTGTCCCCTGGGGAGCTGGGAAGCCAGTGGGGGAGACGCCCTGCCCCCCCCCCCAGGCACCATTGGCAGGCTGCACCTGGCGCTCACCTGGCATCGGCCTCACTGTAATACTCCCGGGCCACGATGTCCTCAAACAGCTCCCCACCAGTAACCCTGGCGAGACAGGCACAGAGTCACCCTCCCACAGAGGCCCCCAGTGTTACCTCTTCTGGAATAGTCTCCAGGAAGCTAAGGGCAGGACCCAAGGACCTCAGAATCTCAGCCCAAAGGGAGGAACACCAGGGGCCCCGAGGGTGCCTCCTGTCACAGCCCTCTTCCTGGCTTCCAGCCCGCCCTTCCCCTGACTTCCCTCCCTCCATCATTTGCCCTTCTCTCCCACTGGGTCCAGGCTGGAGTTAGGACACGGGGTGGGACACTCAGAGCATATCACTGAGGTTCATTAGGAAGCCCAAGGGCTGGGGTTTTTGTTGTTGTTGTTGTTTGCTTGTTTCATAAACTTTATATTTTAGAGTAACTTGAGGCACACGGCAAAACTGAGCAGAAGGCACAGAGATTTCCCATGTCCCCACACAGGCAGAGTCCTCCCCATGATTAACTGTCTTTTGCAGATGGGACCAGCGTCTTCACTGAGTTTCTTTGCCAACCCAAGAACTTATCATTTCATTATTGTTTTTCATTCAATTGACTGGCTTTCAAAACTTTAAAATTACTCCAAAAGGAAACTTTATATTGCCACTAGACGTGGAAAGCCAGCATCGCTGGCCACAAATAGAAACAAAACAGTAAGACAACGAAAGTAACAAGTGTGTGTTGGCATTTCAGGGAAACCCACCTGCACTGTTTGGGTGGCAGGCCTACAACATTCAGGAAACTTCTATCTCGGACGAGGGAATTCAGCCCAGCCTGGGGGCATTTGGGAATCAGGCCAAGGGACCCAGCTGGGTCATCCCTGCTCAGGCTGCCCCTAGAGCCCTTGTACGTCCCGGGGTGGGCCCAAACTCACAGGTCGAAGATCAGGTAATGGTGTCCCTCCTCAGAGATGCTGTCGTGGAGCCGGACTGTGGGAGGGGCCCAGGCAGCCAGTTAACCCGGAAGCACTGCTTCCCACCCCCTCCTGCCCTCTCACCTCACCCCTCCAACGGCCAACATGCCAATTTCTCAGGCACTGAGCACAAGCCAGGTAACAGGTGCTTTGACAAACACAAGTGAACAATGGCTCACTGACCTCGGGCATCATCAAAAGAGGCCCGGGTTTAAAGATGGAAGACCCCTCCCTGCTTTGGTCAAAGTTTGGCCTCCTCCTTTCTCCAACCCTCAGCTTCCTTGCTGGGTAGGCTGGCATCGTGGAAATAACCTGTGGCTCGATCTCCACCACATGCTAGCTGTGTGATTTCAGGCAAGTTGGGTGCTACACCTTTCGGAGCCTCTCTTTTCTGGCCCGGACAATGAGAATGAAACTCCTGCACCTGCAGGCTCATTGTGAGAATTCCATGAGGCACACAGTCGGTGTTCGCCCAGTGCTGGCCCTGGGGAAGAACCCTGCTGTGCACCCAGGTGTGGATAAGAGAGCCGGGGTTGGTGGGAGGACCGCGGTCCCTGAGTTAGGCATGCTGAGAAACTGTCATCTCTTCATACCTCACTTACCAAGAACAGGGGCAAGACTCCCAGGAGCCCAGAGCTCCCAAAATTACCCCCCTGAGATTCTGGAAGGAAGGGCCCAAGGCCCAGGGCTGCCTCTGGGGGGGCTGTACCCTGCCAGCCAACGGCATTTTCTCCCAGGACAGCTTCACATCCTTCCCTGAGCCACAGGCTCTAAACGGCCACAGAGTCGGGTGCATGCTCAGAGAGTCAGGATACGTCGTACAACGGAAGATTACACAGCTGTTAAAATAATACAGCAGTTATGTAGCCCCTGGTTCAGAATCATCTCTGAATTATGTTGTTTGGCAAAAAAGCAAGTGCAAAACAGTGTGCATGGTACTTCTTTAAAAAGATGTATTTAAGCCTGTTTATGGCATAAGCCTCTCTGGAAGGATACAAAAAGTGGGCATTGGGGGACCTTGGGGAGGGGATTCGAGAGAGTAGGAGTGGTGGGTGGGTGAGACTATGTTTTCACCGTGAGCCCTAGTGCCATTTGAATTCTGGCCATGTGCATATATTTCTGACTCAGTATTGAGTCCCTTCAGTGGCTTATGGCTCTCCTATCTGCACATAAAGTTTGGAGAGGCAGGCGTCAAATGTACCAGAGTATATCTGCTACTGGACGGAGGAGAGAGAGCCAGAGATGGAGGAGGCCAGGAACATAAAGTTTTTTAAAAGATTTATTTATTTAAGTGATCTCTACACCGAACACAGGCCTAGAACTCACAACCCTGAGATCAAGAGTCACACACTCCACCGACTGAACAAACCAGGCACCTCGAGAACACAAATTTAAATTAAAATTTTTTTAATTCTGAAATGATGATATGTATTTCTAAATGACTGATATTTTAAATATGTTTTATTTTATTCCTAAGTAAGCTCTACACTCAGTGTGGGGCTGGAACTTTTGACCCTGAGACCAAGAGTCACATGCTCTACCCGCTGAGCCAGCCGGGCACCCCTGTTTTAATATATTGCAAAGCAAAACTAAAAATCAGAGTACATATTATATAATCCTGCTTTAATTTTTTAAACAACATTTCATTATAAAAAAATTCACACGTACACTCAAGTGAACACCCATATACCTACCACTTAGATTCTATCATTAATCCTTTCTTATACTTGTTTTACTACATTTCTAACCATTCCTCTATCTATTCATCTATTTCAGTTTTTTAATGCATTTCAAAGCAAAGGTATGCTTGGTTTTTGACATGTATATGTGTATTGAAATGAGCATCCTGTATATTCTGTATGCCGAATCTGACAACCCTAGATCGGTGCCCTGGCCGGCTCTCCTTCTGTATGGGACAGCCATCCTGCAGCCTCTGGGAGAGGTGGCTGCTAACAGCTCACATTTACTCCCCTTCGCTGGAGAATTGCCCACTACTGGTGGAGCCACATCGTGTACAAGGTTACAGGCAGCCTGCAGCCAATGACGGACTAACTCAGGAAGTCAGGGTCAGTGCAAAGGGCCAATCTCCTTGTCTTAGGGAGGGACAACCCCAAAACAGGATTTATGTTCCAGAGACCTCCCCACGGCACCCTGTAGACACACCTGGAATCAGGTCAAAGTTAGACTTGACCTGAGGCCACATCCTTGGTCAATTCCTTCCCTTTTTCCATCCTGCTTCACCCTGTCCCTTGCAGGTCTCCCCTGGGAGCATACCCTCAATAGATCACAAGCATCTGAATCCCTGCCTTAGGCTCTGCTTCTAAGAAACCTGACCTGAGGCAACATGTAGAGAAACAGTTGAGAGGGTACAGACACATCATATGTCATATGGAAACATGTATCATACAGTATTAGCTCTGTGTACCAAGGTTATAGAAGATACTTTAAAAACGGTCTTTTCATTGATCTATAATAAGCTTGCATTATTAGTCTATCAAGATAAAGTTTAAAAAAAAAACCCTTTCCGGGAGCCTGGGTGGCTCAGTCGGTTAAGCATCTGCCTTTCACTCAGGTCATGATCCCAGTGTCCTTAAGGGAATCAAGTCCCACATCCGGTTCCCTACTGAGCAGGGAGCCCATTTCTCCCTCTCCCTCTACTCCTCCCCCCTGCTCGTGATCTCTCTCTCTCTCTCTCTCTCTCTCAAATAAATAAATAAATAAATCTTAAAAAAAAAAAAGGGCTGCCCCTCTAAACGGCCAGACAAGGGGAACACAGGCTGGATTCCAGCCCCCACCTGCGTAAGGGCACTGGGGTGGGCTTTAGGCCCTGAGAGGTGGCACCATCACAGCTCAGAACCCAGGAGACAGGACACATAAAACCTCCCCTCCCATCAGTGAAGGCTGCCCTGAGAAAGAACAGTCCAAAGCCGAAGAGGAAAAGAAAGATTCAAGAGCCGCCACAGGGTATGAAAGGGTCTCACCACCTCGTAGAGATTGACACGTCTGTGGTCATTGAGCTAAGCTGCCAGTTTGTGACTTTTTAAAATATTGCCAGAGATCCAACAGATCTGTAACCTAGTTTTCATTTATATAGCTGGGCTCATGAATTTCTGACATTCCTTTCATATTTCCAACAGTGATTAGTTTTTTTTCTTGGAAATTGAAAGGTAGTGCTTGCTGCCCTACGCTCTGCCCCCTGACAGCACACTCCTGACGTCCACTTGGGAAGCTCAGTGGAATGGCTGGGAAGATGGGCTCTGTAGTCAGTCTTGCTGGGCTCACCTCCCAGATCTGCCTCCTATAAGCTGTGTTAACTTTGGGCAAATCAGGTAGCCTCTCTGAGCCTCCTTTCCTACCCATAGTGGTAACACCACTGGCCTGCTGCGGGGGGTTAATCGATGATGCTTACAAAGCCTTCAACACAGTGCCCGGCACCGGCAAGAACTTGACAAATGAAGACACTGTCATCTTCCTCATTGACCAGCCTCACTTCTCTTGCCCAGCCCAAATCCCCTGCTAAACTCCCTGGGGTGGCCTTCGGAGTCGGCCCCATCAGCAGGTGTGGGGCACTGTCCCTGTCCCGAGTGCACAGCACAGTTGGACCCCCCTGTGCTGAGCCAGGGCCTCCCTGACCTGGTCCCGCCAGGGCTGCACACCAGCCACACATGGGGAACAGGGAGTAAGCCACACTAGAGTCACCGAGCTGCATGACTAGGAGTCAGTCTAGCACCTCCAGGCACAGATTTGCCTCTCGGGTTCTACATCCACAGCTGCACCTCTCTGCACTTCTTCGGGCAGTTTATAATCGACTTAGAAGTGAGATGCTTAGAGGCTCAGGAAGCAGCACCCTCCAGGGCCTTTCCAGCCCTGAGATAGCTTCGGGGTTCTTCCCCAAATCTTCCTGGTCTGGGGCTCAGCTCTACTCTCCACATCTCTGTACATCAGCCACTCCCACCCCAACCCCATCCCCACTTCTTCTGCACATGCTCAGCCCCCAGCAGAGGCCTTGGCACATGGTGGGGCCCCAGATACCCTTGCCGTCAGGTACAGGAAGGAAGGAAGGAAGGAAGGAAGGAAGGAGTAAAGGCCTCAATGATGATGATGATGATGAAGTGCCATTTCTGAGACTTTACCACGGGCCGGGCTTGTGCTAAGTGCTTCCCTTGCAATTTCTCATTTAGCCCGCCCAATTGTAAAGGGTGGCTACCATGATTACCCTCATAGCCCGTGCATGCTCCAACACCTGTGAACTGCAGAGCTGGGATTGGACCCCAGGTGCAAATCCCATTCTCTTAACCACCCGTTAAATACAGCGCCCCAAACTGGTGACCAAACAACATGAGGGCTCGGAAGAATGAGAAGTGTATGGAGGTTACGTTTTCGGGTAAGGTTGTTTTGTGGGAAGGGGTGGACTGAGGAAAAGGGGGAGTGGCACTTACCTCAGGACTGTCATGGTTCTATGCTTTAATTAATCATCACAGCCCTATGAGGAGGGTATCATTGCCATTTTCCAGATGAGAAAACTGAGCTTCAGAGTGCTTCAGCAACATGTCCAGGGTCACACAGCAATTAAGCAGCAAACCCAGGATTTGAGCTGCAGTCTGTCAGCCCCAGAGCCCATAAGGTACTGCTCCCCATGTATGGGGGGGCGGGGGAGGGTGGAGGACGCAGCGTTGACCTGAGACCGCCGCAGTGGGCAGCAACACACGCACAGACACACACACACACACACACACACACACACACACACACACACTCTCCCCGCCTCCTTCCTCTGTGGCCGCCAGCCTTTCTAAGGAGCATGGGACTTCGAGGTCGGAGCTCCCTCCCAACCCCTCCTTCACAGTGGTGGGCACCTGGAGGCCCCGAGAGGGCAGGAGCCGCCCAAGGCCACACAGTGAGCCTGCCAGCAGGCCAGGGACCGGGGTACAAGCAGGGCTGCTCCCCGCCCCCCGCCGCCTTGCTGCCCCTCCTCTGATTCTGATCCTGGAGACTCTGGCTGCTGTCTGCACAGTTCTGCTCCCCTTCCCGGGGCCCAGGGAAGGGGAGGTGCCTTTTGGGTATAAATAGCGGATGGAGATGCTTCTCTCCAGCAGGAAAGTTAACCCTTGGGTCTCTGGGCACAGAGAGATGCTTCCTTCCCAAGGGCAAAGTCTTGGTGGCTGTCAGAGTTGGAATATTCCTTAGAAGAGCACCTAGGTCTTGTTCCTCAAAGTGGGGTCCGAACCTGCAGCCTTGGCATCGCCTTGGAGCATGTCAGAAACGCAAAATCTTGGAACCCACCCAAACCCACTGAACCAGAAACTACCTTTTAACAGGATGCCCAGATGATGCCGAGGGTGTCTCCTTGTGCAGATGGGGGAAAGTGGCTCAGAGAGGGCAGGGCTCCCACCCAAGGTCACACAGCCATTCCCTGACAGAACTGTATCTAGAATCTGCTCTTCTGCCCCTCCCCCCACCTGCCCCTGGCCACACCACCCCAACTCAGAACCCTGATGGGCGGGGCTGCAGACCCCCAGTCATGCATGGGGGAGGAGAGGAGGTCAGGCAGTGATGTGTGGTCTAGGCCTAGCCTCTCCCCAGCAGCGGGTGCTCAGTCTACCCCTGGGGCAGGGGCCACCTCGGAGCCTGCCTCTGAGGGGCAGGCAGGCTGCTGGTCTAGGTAGGTGGGCAGGCCACAGTGCCAGGCTGACTCAGCCTGGGGTAGGTTTGGGGAGTGGGCCGTTATGGTCAAGGCCACGCCTGGCCTATTTTTGTCTCTCTCGGAGCTTCGGGAGTTTTCCTGAAACAGCTTTTCTGAAGGAGGCTGCTGGCAGCGTGGGCTATATAGGAGGAAGGGCCCCTTCTTCACCTTCTCCCCAACCAGGCTGGTCTCTGAGAAATGTGGAGACCATTAAAGGCACCCCCTTTCCCATCACTACTGCCGCCATCCCCAGAGAAGAGAGCAGCTACCCCCCACCTGCCCAGAAGGCCCACCAGCTCAGGCAGGGGCGCAGGGCCAGGCTCCACCCACGCCCCTCATGCACCCCCCACAGCTCACCGATGTTGGGGTGCTTCAGCAGGCGGCAGATGCGGGCTTCGCGCTCCAGCTTCTGATGATCTGAAACCCAGATGCCCAGGTAAGTCCCACATAAGGGAGGAAACTTCACCCACTCCGTCTCTGCCTCTTCATGGCCTCTTATGCTCTGCACCTCCCAGGGCAGCCCCTGGGCCCCCGTCCCCCCCCCCCACATAAGCTGGCCTTTCTGGCAGGGCCCCTGGGTTCTCCAGGAAGGCGGTGGGATGCAGCAGAGGCGGGGTGGTGGGGGGCAGGGTTGCAGGGCCTCAGAAGTTCCTTCCTCTCTCTGGGCCTTGGTTTCCGGGGCTCTCAAATGAGGTGCGTCCCTGAGCCCCATCTGCAGAGCCTGCAATGCCCACCCAGCAGGCTTCTGCTGCCCCGCCTCCAGCCTTGCCCCTTGCGCACACGGCACTCCAGCCAGACTGAACTGCTAAATGGCACTTCTCCAGACCCACCCTGCTCAGTCCTCTCAGAACCACCCATGTGGTTCTCTCAGCTGGAACTTTCCCTCTCAACCCCCCACCTGTCCTTCACTCCCACATACCCTTAGATATACCCTCTCCTGGCAGCCTGGTAGGGGCCCCTCCTCTGTGTGGTCAGGGTCCCGGGACAACACATCTCACTTTGTCTCATGGATACCTTTACCCTTAAGGGCAAGAGCTTGGTCTCTGTTGTACCCCTGGCCTGGCATCTACTCAAATGCCTGGCACATAGTAGGTGCTCAAGAAATAATTGAATTAAAGAATAAACCATTAAATGATGAACCTTTCTAAGGGAGTATATATTTCTCTGCAGGAAAAGAGCTGTGTTCATTCACAGAGGCCGCCTCTCTTACAGGGGACCCCGGGCCAGGGACACAGACAGCCCCAAATAATCTGCAGGAGCTTTACCCGGAGCTCTCGCACCTGCTTTCCAGGACTTTTGTCCAGACCCCCGGGGAGAGAGGCCTTGTTCGGGATCTGCCCCCATGGTCTCCTGCTCTGAGGCTGCTGGGAACAATCCTTCCCATGACTCTTTTCAATCCTCCCAACCACCCTGTGCTGTGGGCAATCACTGTCCCCATTTTATGCACTTCTCAATTTCCTTTCCGGTGCTTTTCTCACAATTCCATAGTTAATGCCTTAATTTAAAAAACCAGAACAATACAAAGGGAGCCAGCAGAATATTTACTATGTGCCAGGCACTGTGCAGAGCACCTTTATATCCATCTCAAGTTCTCACAACAACGCTTTGAGGGAGGTGTGATCACATCCGACCTTACAGAGGTGCGTAGAAGCCAAGTACCCGGCTCAGAGTTGCACCCGCGGTGATGAGTGGCGCCACACTTTGTACCATGCAGTCAGAATCCAGGGTGAGCTTTACCATGCTATATTGCTCTCCATGCCCTGACTCAGTGCCACCGCCTCCATCTGCCCCCAATTTCTGAATGGGAAAATCGGGGCGCATAGGAGGGACCTCACACAGACTCTCAGTGGCAGAAGCCCGGATTAGAATTCCAGTCTCTGGCTAGCCCCTTCAGAGCAGGCAGCCACCAAGGAGGGCAATAAGGAGGGAGAAAGTCCCAGCCCTTGTCCCCAGGCAGCCAGCTCCCCTTTCCCCTGCCCCTTTAGTAGAGCAATCACTGGCCTTCCTCCAGGGGCTGCAGAAGCCAAGAACAATACTGAAATGGGGCTTTTTCGTCAGCAAAGCAATTAAGTCCACTCCTGTTTCCACAGAGGGTAAGCTCAACTCCCCAGCAAAAGGTGGACTACGGGCTAGGGGAGGGGAGGTTGTCTACACTGGGGGACATTCCCCCTGGTCCCCCCTCCCTCCCAGCCTCCTTCCACATCCTCCAGGATAGCAGGAGGCCAATTCCCACACAAAGGAGGGGCATCTCCATCCAGAGCTGCTGAGGGCCCTCAGTGGACTGAGGACGGCTGAACGCTCCCCTAGCCCTACAACCCTGTCCCCCACCCCACCCATCCCCAGCAGAAGAACCAGAGAGCAGGCTGGTCAAGTGGGGCCTATCAGAGGGGGCTGGAGGCTATACATTCAGAGGACAAGGCTGGTCCAGCCTATACATTCAGGGGACGAGGGACCCAAATGCAGAATTCTGATGTTTCTCCGCCACGTGAGCAGCACTGAAAGGACATGCAGGTCACACAGCCTCAGACTTGGACCTGATGTCCAGCCCTCACAGCCAGAAATGCCAGGAGCTGACTGTTTGTATAAATCTGGCTATCATCTTGTGCCTAGTCCAACCACACCGCATTGCAAATTTCTGGGCTAAAAGCATTAATTTGTTGAATTTATGTAAACATATATGTTATTCAACAGTTTTTGTAACTCTGACATGTTTTTATTTTCTAACATTCCTCAGAGAAAGTAGGGATTGTGTTTCTCTTGACCTCTGAGGCCTTGCTCTGTTCTGTAGGTAAGGAAACTGAGGCCCAGTGATAAGGAGCAGTCCCATTATCAAAGTCACTTAATAAGGTAGTCAAGCCTCCTTAGAACCCACAGCTCTGAGGAACCACTCCTGGATGTTCTCCCCACTCCAGCCAATCATCTTTGGCAGCCAAGGACCTCTTATTAAAACATGAATTAGAGGCTGTCTCTCCCTGGCTTCAAATTCTCCAACAACTCTTCAAACTCTGCACTGTACTTGCAATCCAAACTCCTCACCACAGCCATCCAGACACTGCTGGTCCTGCCTCACCTTGGCCTTGGAGCTTCAGCCACAGTGGCCACCTTTCTGGCCTCGGGCATTCTATGCGCCTTCCCACCTCAGGGCCTTTGCACTTGCTGGGCCTTTTGCCTAGAATGCTCTTCCCCTGGGTCTTCTCATGGCTGCCTCCTCCTCCTCAGGCAGGTCCAACACAGTAACACCTCCACAGAGAGCTTCCCTGGCTGCCTTTTCTGAGGGTCCCTCCTGACCCCCATCACTTCCCCACTGTCCTGTCTCATTTTCTTTATAACTCGTTGCTACCTAAAGTTTACCTCGCTTATTTATATGTTTAATGTTCTTTCCAGTCTTCCTCACTAGAGAACAGGTGCAATGAGAGCAAGACCTTGTCTGTCAGTCATGGCCATGCCCCAGAGTCACTAAGGGGCCCAGAGTCACTAAGCAGCTTGTCCAAGGTCCCATAGCTAAGAAATGGCAGAGCTGGGATTTCAACCCATGTTCAAAATTACTACACTACATTGCCTCCCATTCTTATAAACAATTAATTGCTAAATCAATCCTTTCAGCTTGATACAGTCCCACATGGTGAAAGGCCTGAGGGAAGCCTCCTGTCCAGGTCCCTGGAAGGATTGCCCCCTAATGCTCACTATGATACCTTGTGAACCTTCTCCCTCCCTCCCTAGGGGCAGGCCTCCAGGGTGCTGGGGTTGGGGGCCCCTTCCCTGCCCAAGAGCTTGGCAGTCAGGGACGAGTGAAAGTAAAGGTCAGGGTAAGGTTCCTGGGGCCAGATAGTGCCAGCAGGGCAGGGCAAGACAGAGCAGAGCATGGGGCAAGTACAATCAGGCAGCCTGGAAGGCTCTGCCCGCAAAGTGGGGCAGGGGTAGGGGGTAGGGGTGGGACTCCTGCCAGAGGCACAGGAACCAGGGAAGAAAATAGGCTTCCCAGTCTTGGAAGAGGAAATGCCCCCACCCTCTAGAGGGCCTCAACAGGGCTCCTGATCCTGGGAGGTTAGAGGAATAATTCCAAGGGCCAAGAGTGCCAGGCAGGGGGGTGCTTGGGTGGCTCAGATGGTTAAGCGTCTGCCTTCAGCTCGGGTCATGATCCCAGGGTCCTGGGATCAAGCCCCACATCGGGATCCTGGTTCGGCGGGGGGCCTGCTTCTCCCTCTCTGTCTGCCTCTCCCCCTGCTCATGCTCTGTCTTTCTGTCTGTATCTCTGTGTCTCAAATGAATAAATAAAATCTTAAAGAAAAAAAAAAAAAAGAGTGCCAGGCAGGAGTGGGGAGTAAGATGAGGAAAACGGGAAGGATCTGTCTCCCTGCCTCCTTCACAGCATGGGCCCGAGGCTCAGGGGCAGCCTGAATGAGCTCACGCCATGCTTTTCACCCCATGTCCTGGGACTGGTTGCCAGGGAGCCGAGGAAGTGAGCCCTCAGCACTTGGGTGGACAGTGGTTACTGTGGAGGTCTCTGTACCCCTGTCAGTCACCCCTGGCTGCACCAGCCACATCCATGTGCCCAGCGTCCCCTAAAATGCTAATGAGTGTCTTCTGTGCGCCGGGTGAGGCTGGGGCTGGGAAGCCTCCGGAGGCCCTGGCAGGGAGTTATCCCTGAGCATACTGGCTATCGTCACTGTGGGTGGGAGTTTTTCAGTGCAGGAGCTTGAGCCTCACCAACTGACTCCAGCCCTCCAGGGTAGAACTAAGGCAGCCGTGTTTTTTTAAAGGCCCCCGAGGGGACCTTGCAGGGCCTGAGACAGGCAAAATTTTCACTTCCCATTCCATGTCTTTATGACTTCTTTTTTTTTTTTAAAGATTTTATTTATTTGACAGAGAAAGACACAGTGAGAGAGGGAACACAAGCACAGGGAGTGGGAGAGGGAGAAGCAGGCCCCCCGCGCAGCAGGGAGCCCGACGTGGGGCTCGATCCCAGGACCCGAGGATCACGACCCGAGCCGAAGGCAGACGCCCAAAGACTGAGCCACCCAGGCGCCCCTCTTTATGACTTCTTGAAATTGTTGACACTTTGAGCATTTTATCTTAAAAGAGTAGCTTTAAAATACATAGGAGAAAATATCTCTTGGGTTGGGCAGCCACTCAACAGAAGAAGAGGCGGACCCTGGTGGGGAAGGGGGAGCTGCAGCTGGGGCGGGGGGAGGGGGAGGATGGACGCCCCGGGTGGGCCAGGCCCCTGCCAGGAGCTGCCAAAGTCCCCAGGGAGTGCCAGCAGGAGCGGCTTAGGATATGTTGCCAAATAGTCAGCATCAAACTGCTCCTCTCCCCAGGCACCATGGGTGGAAAACAAAGGAACCTGCTAGAAGCAGCTCTGCTCTTCCGAAGAGCTGGCAGTTGGCAGACTTGTTTGAGAAGGCTCCCCTGAGAACCTCCCCATTCCCACCCTCCACACTCACCTAGGCCTGGGCCACCTTCCTGTAAGGATGGCAAAGCCTCAACAAATTGCCAAAAACAGGGGACTTGCTGATTTCGTCCTGGCACGGCCCAGAGTCCACACTGCCCAAGGAATGCTTAGTCACTACCTTCCAGAAAAGAGGCAGTGCCCCTTCCATTGTCCCTCATACACATCTGTCTCTTCCTGTCAGTGTGTGTGTGTGTGTGTGTGAGAGAGAGAGAGAGAGAGAGAACCAGGCGGCGGGGAGAGGTGTCGCTCTGAGTGAACTGACCCAAGCGCTCCAGCATCCAGGGAGGATCCTGACTCCTGACCCTCCCTCATTTTGAAGCAACCTCAATCTGTCAACCAAGTCGTGGCCCTAATCTTGCCCCCGCTGTATCTCAGGGATTGGGACATCTCCTTTGATCAAAGCACAGAAAGGGCGCCAGACTGCCACTCCTGCCACGGGAAGCAAGGCAGATCCCACCCTCTGGACACGCGGCTGCCCTAGCTGCCCTGGCTCCCCGCCCCTGGCTCCGGCCCCAGACTTTCCACGGGTGTCGTCGTTCCACACCAGCTTCCATGCTGAATGTGTGCTGTCTTGGGCCCCGGCCCTCAGAGAACCACCCTCCACATGCCCAGCCTCTTCTCACCGCAGGACACTGGCTGCCTACGGGGGAGTTCAGTAACTAGGAGAAGGTGCTGGGCTCCCAGCAGCACTGAGCCAGAGAGATGAAAGGCAGCACCACGTGGTCCAACACAGGGCCTGCTGGGAGGCCTTCGGGGGACCATGTGAACATCCTGTACCAGCCTCCGTGAACCCCACCCCTGCTGGGCCCTGGCCCCAACACAGCTGCCGCTATGCCAGGTAAACACCTGATCACCTGACCACCCCATGACATCTCCCATGCTGCGCCTGTACCCACCTCACCCGGAGGTCCCCAGGGCAGCTTAGACAGCATTCAGAGCAGGCATTGGATTTTTGAAGATAACCTTCCCCAACACACTGATCACGGTTACTACCACTACCATTCTAACCACATGCTAAGGGCAAGAAGCAAGGCTCCTGGGCAGGCTTTCCAAGTTCCAATACCCACACGATCACCGGGATATCTTGGTAAAATGCAGATCCTTTTTTTTTTAAATGCAGATCCTGATTCCTTAAGTCTGGAAACAAGAATGTCCATTTCTAGCAATCTCCTGGTGATGCTGACGCTGCTGGTCTAGGACCACTTCCACACCAGAATTACCTGGGGATTTTTTTTTTTTTTCCCAAACCCAGGTCACACCCCCACATGGATAAAGTCACAACCTCTGGAGGCAGGGCCCAGGCATCAGGAGTTTTTGAGGCTCTCCAGGGGTTCCAGGGTGAGGACAGGTTTGGGAGCTACTGTTCTAGGGAATATTTAGGGTTGAGAGAGCAGACCGGTGTGGCTGAAGTGGAATGCACCTGGAGTTTACTGGACACTGGTGGAGCACTGGGATGTGTTGGGTGCTGTCCCAGGTACTGGGTATAGCAGGGAATGAAAGCCATCCCTGTCCTCTTGGAGCTTATGGTCAAGATGCATGCTTAATAAGGGACCAAGCCAGTACATGGGATAAGTGCAGACTGGGGGAAAGCCGAAAAGAAGGTAAACAGTAATAACAGATATAAAATGGGGGAGACACCCTCAGATGTAGGGGTCAGGGAAGTCTCTCAAAGGATGTGACCTTGAGCTGAGGCCTGAAGTTTGAAAAAGGGCCAGCCTTGTAAGGAGCCAGGTAAGGGAAGGGTGGTTGCAAGGTCTGGAGATGAGAAAGGAAGCAAGTGACAGAAGGGTAGGGAAAGGAAGTCCCACCTGGTACCTTAGCCTTCACCTGGGTGGGAGGCAGGGAGCCTGGCCTATCTGAGAGGCTGTGGCCTCCAGTCTAGATCCCCTAGGGAAGGAAAATGGAGGGATCTGTTCTCATAATACCCACAGGAAGAAGAATCTCCCCCCTACAACATCACCCAGGGGGACAGACCCAGGTCCGGCTTCTAACCCAAGGCGCTGAGGGAAGAAGAGCCCCAGAGGGCAGGTAAGGCATGGATCTGCCACCTACCTCTGGCCGAGAGCTTCTTGGTGTTGATGATCTTAGCAGCATACTCCTGGCCAGCCAGCACCTTCACACACCTGCGCACCACTGAGAAGGCTCCCCTAGGAGGACAGAGAAGGTGAAGGAGGTAAGCAAGGGCCCAAGGGATTCATCGCTAGGACATGACAAAATTCATGCATCTGTACCGTGTTGGCTAGGGAGCCCTCCTGCAGGGCTGCTCAAGCTCACAGGGGCTGCATGGCCTGACTCAGGGACAGGGCAGGGATGGCGACCCAGGAGAACCCCTGCCAGCAGATTATGAGGGCCTTGGCCTCATAAAAGATGAGCCTTCCAGAGTTGTAGTAAGTTGGACTCACCGAGTTGTAAAACATTAGAATCATGTAGTGTCAGAATCACAGAATCTAAGTCTCTGCAAGATTGTAGTTTTCATTCTTTGAGTAGGTAACACATCAACATGGCTCAAAGTTCAAATGATATGGAAGAGTAGATAATAAGAAGACTCCCTCCCACCCCTGTACCCCAGTCTCCAAGGTCCTGTCCCCAGGGACAGCCAGTGTTACCAGGTCCTTGAGCATTTTTTCACAAATACTCTCTGCCATACAAGGGTTTTGGACCTCACATCCTGTTCTGCACCCTTCCTTTTTCAGTAAATATTTTGGAAATACTCCTTCCATATTGGAACATAAAGAGATCCTTATTACTTAATCATATGGCTGTCCTATAATTTACCTAGCCAGTGCCCTATCAATAGGCAATTAGGTTAGTTCAATCCATAGTTCCATACATTTTACAAACAGCACTGCAATGACTAACCTTCTATGTGTGCATTAGAATTAACGTTTCCCATGTGTGCAAGTGTCTGTGGATCAACTTCAAGAACTGGTATTATTTGGTCAAAGGGTAGGTGTTACTGGTAATTGTGAAGGATGATGGGAGATTATCCATTTTAGCGATCGTACCAACTTACTTTCCCTAGTATGTGAGGGGACCATTTCCCTCCACCCTTGTCCACAGTGTGTTATCAAACTTTCTTATCTTTGCTAATGAGACAAGTGGGAAATGGCGACTCAGTGTAGGTTTGATTTGTAATTCTCATATTGAGTGAGGCTGAGCATCTTTTCATGTTTTATTTTATTTTTTTAAAGATTCTATTTATTTATTTGAGAGAGAGAAAGCGAGAGAGATCACAGAGAGAGAGGGAAAAGCAGACTTGCCGCTGACTGAGCGGAGAGCCTGATGCAGGACTTGATCCCAGGACCCTGAGATCATGACCTGAGCAGAAGGCAGCTGCTTAACCGACTGAGCCACCCAGGCGCCCCACTTTTCATGTTCTAAGAGGCGCCTGGGACTTGATCCTCAGAGTATCAGTGGTTGGGAAACATTTGGAGCAAGGGTTGCGCCAGTGCTTTGCATGGGGACACTGATTATTGCCAGGTGGAATGTGGCCCGTTTCCCAAATTGTTCAATTTTTCAATAAAAGCCTGAAGTCTGGATATTTATGTGAAATTTCCCAATTTTTAAATACTGGCACCTTATTCTAAAAAAAAAAAAAATGTAAACAGAGTATCTGGCCCAACAAACCTAGTGTGAGGGTTCAATCTCGCATCTGGGAACGATATCATACCCCTACCACAAAAGTCATCTGGTGCAACTCCTTCATATCCCAGGGGAGGCCCCTAAGCAGCCGGACACTGACCGTAGTTACCGCCATTAGCACCCTAACCACAGACTAATGGCAAGAAGCAAGCCTGTGGGCAGGTTTCCCCAATTCTAATGTGCATATGTGAGTCACCAGCGTGTCTTGTTAAATTGCAGATTCTGATTCCTCACGTCAGCAGTGGAACTGAAGACTCTGAGCCCCGGTGTAGACGGTGTAGATGGCTCACACAGCTAGCTGTAGGCAGGGCCGGGACTAGAATTCAGGTATTCGTACCCCCACCACCACCAAGGGAGCCTGCCACACCCAGGTTCCTGACAAGGCCACACCTCATCACATCCTCCAAACTTTGATGCCCTATCCTCAGCATAAGGGCGGGTCCAAGCCCAGGAAGCCTGCACGCTGGCTTCTCTCTGTACGCCCTCTCTGTACACACCCTGGGCACGGTGTCTCTGGTTTCTGAGCCGCATGAATGGAGCGAGTGGAAAACTGGAGAGGGATGAGGAAGAAAGAGCCAGGAGGGGGCATGAGACTAGGAAATGTGACCTTGTAGGAAAGCACTAGAAAGCACTAGACTATCCACTTGCACTGGAATTCCTGGGCAAGTGGATCGTCTCACGCAGCAGTGGACCTTCCCTGGGGTGTGCACCCTTGCTGTCCTTCCCCCACCCCTCCCGCCCCAGGAAAGCAGCAAGGCCAGAGTCTCCTTCCCAGAGAAGCCTCCCTGTTAAGGACTCCCTCACCTGTGCTCCCAGAGCACTCCACCCCTCCCCATCTAGCCCAAGCTCACCGTGGCTCTTGCTCGCTTGCTCGTCCTGTTTGTGCCTCCCACCTGACGGTGAGTTCCTGAGGACCAGAACTTTAACTTTCCTTTCCACATCCCTGTGCCCCAGTATCCAATGTCTGCTACCAGTTAGGGCCTCCATAAATGTTACTTGCAGAAACAAGAAGTGGATTGAATTCACAGTGAGGGAGATTGAATGAGACAGGGGAGTGGCTTTTACGTCAGGGTGTTAGGAATAGGAACAGGCATCCGAAGAAGGTAGGGCACGAGTGGTCTCTCAAAGGGGCCCACCCTACCCAGACAGGGGGATGGACCCAAAGACCTCAGGTCCCTGCCCAGCTGGAGGCCACAATTCCCAAAGGCCCTGGGGGAGAGTGTTTAAAATGGCCCCTTCTGGGAAAGTTGGAGAGCTCCATCGAGAGCAGGGGCATGGAAGGAGAGGGGCTATAAAGTCCAGCAGGGGCTGGATCCTGCCTCACTCACCAGCATTTAGCCTGTGTTTGGTCCAGAGCTAGAGTTCAGTTAATGTGGGATGGAGGGATGAAGGGATGGAGGGGGAGGGGGAGGGAGGCAGGGAAGGAGGGATGGATATATTTCTCCACTAAAGAAACAAATTCTACATAAAAAACTAAGTAAAAAATTCCATTCCAAGAAAGATCTTAGACCGATGGTTATCAAACGGGCTGCTTTGGAATCCCCTGGGGATATTTTAAAAATACATATACCAAGGCCTTATCCAGACTTAACCAAACCAGAACCTCTGGGTGGGGGCACAGGGGATCTGTATTTTCATTTAACACGCAGTCCAGGGGATTGTTTCCTGCCCGCCCTCTGGGGGAGTCCTGCTAGATGCCCTGACGTCAGCCCTGACGGGGCGGTCACATGCAACTCTCTGCAGGGCAGCTTGGCAGCCCCATGAACCTGGGCTCTGCCCTAGGAGCTGAGGACCTAAGAGCCACATCTATAAAACAAGAGAAGGTACATTTGCTAAACTTCCTTCTCGGAACACAGTGCCAAGCTTTTGTGTAAATCCCAGCTTCTAACTAGGGGTCCTTTTTTTTAAAAAAAAAAGATTTTATTTATTTACTTGAGAGAGAGCACAGAAGGAAAGGGAGAAGCAGACTCCCCGCTGAGTGGGGAGCCCGATTTGGGTTCGATCCCAGGACCCCGAGATCATGACCCAAGCAGAAGGCAGCCGCTTAACCGACTGAGCCACCCAGGCACCCCTAACTGGGGGGGTCCTAACTAGGTTCCAACATGGGGAGGGCAGCCGCAGGGGCCATGTACCCACTGAAGGACATCCTGTGCCTCTGAGAGTAGGTATGTGCATTTTTTTCTGGGGCAAGGATGCATAGCTTTTAGCAGCTGCTCAGAGGGAGGAGTTTATCAAAACCAGTTCAGAGCTACTGATCCAGAGGGTACCAGCCTCTCAGGCACCCAGAAGGTATCCTCCTTTTAAATGCATGTGCACTGCTAAGCTCCTTCTTGACCACAGCAGCACTGCGGAGTTGGAATTATGATCCCCATTTAACAGATGGAGAAACTAAGGCCTCAAGTGAACAGGCATATTCCTAGTGGGTCTGTGAAGAGGATCCAGGTCACCTGAACTTGCTCTTCTGACTCCACCAAAGGCAGGAAAGTGTGACCCTCAAGAGCGGGGGCTCTGGGCTCACAAAGCTCTGTGGTCTGATCATGACTTATCCTCAACTGTGATATTGAATTTGGCACTTCACCCCTACCGATGCAGCCTCGGGTTTCCATCCACCCTGCTCGCCACAGGGCTGGGGGTCAAGGGGACAAGGGGCAGAGGAGAATCTACAGCAGAAATGAGACTAACTTCCTCTCTTTTGTATCTTTTGCTTTCAAAAGGCCTATTTCTGCATTCCCGTCCTGCACGAGCAAGTGGCTACAGCCCAGCAGCCTTGGCAAACAACAAAAAAGCCAGCCCAGTCCTCCCATGGCCCTGAACCGAGCAGGTGGGCAGCAGGTGGAGGGGCAGGAGCCTGGAAATAGCACGGGGCAGAGAGGGGAGGAGGCCAAGGTGGGCAGCTCAGGCTAGAAGGGAGTGACCGGGTGTCCTGAGAGGAAGGGGTGAGGCCCGCGTGTGAGAACCCAGTGTGAGTGTCCATAGACGGGTCCTGGGAGGGTCTGCGATGGTGTTCCTGGATGTTAAAGGGTCAAGGGGGCATGTCTGCCCACAGCTGTGTGCAGGCAGCCCAGTCAGTGCCCTGTGCGTGAGCTTCCATGAGGCTCTGGGTGTGACAAGGCACACGCGCGTCACCCTGGGTATGAAATACGTATCCACGTCTGCAAGCACGGAATGTGGGCCGGGAAGCGTGTGTGTGAGACAGACAGACACTGGAGGGACAGAATCTCAGCTCTCCGCCCTGCTGGGAGGTCTTGGGCAGGGGTCTGCGCCAACACAGGCTTCACTTTCTTTCATCTGCAACATGGGGGTTTGGATGGGAATGAGGCTGAATAGTACAGAGCACTTTCCAGCTGCAATATTCTATACCAGAATATCCTGTGATAGTGGAAATATTCTGTGTTGTCCAATGTGGCGGCCACTAGCTTCATATGGTTATGGAGCACTTGAAATATGGCTAGTAGGACTGAAGAACTCAACTTTTAATTTTATTTCATTTGAGCAGCTATATGCG